CTGGATGAACACAGCAGGCCAAGCAGCATCAGAGGAGCAGGAAGGCTCCTTCCTGCTCCTATGATGCTGCTTGGCCTGCTGTGTTCATCCAGCTCTACATCTTGTTAACTCTGTGTAATTATAAGTTATTTCTGTAAAAAAAACCCATTAAAATCACAGGTATTGAGTTGGTCATGTACAAAATGCTATACCGATAAATTCTAATTTCAGAATCAAGCAAAGGAGGAAGCCATTCAGCCCATTGTGCCAATTCTTTCAAAATGCTACAGTAGTAGTACCGCTCCCATGCATTGTTCCGTATCACCGTGCACATGCTTCCTTTTCAAGTATTTATCCAATTGTCTTTTGAAAGTTAAACCAGAATCTGCTTCCAACTCCTTCTGGCACTGCATTTGTCATGATAACTCACTGTGTTAAAACTATTTCACCTCATTCTGCCATTTATGTCCATTATCCTTCTTATCTACTGCGTCAAAATACCTTACAATTTTGAGCATCTCAACCAAATATCCCTGTAACACTTTTTGCTCTAAGAAAGTCAATTCTAGTGGTTCCTGGTAAGATTTACTAAAACGGTAACATATCTGACTATTGGCCTGACAAAAGAAAACTATGCATAACAGAATCTGTGCAATTACTACAATTGGTAGATTAATTTGAAACCATGTTATTTTTCTCTTGGGTAACATTATCAGTAATTCTACCTTTCAGCCACCTGATCGGATAACTCCCAAAATGGTAAAACAAATATGAAATGGCTTAGGAAGCAGCATTAGGTGAAAATGGATTGAACAAAAAGAGTTTATTATTCGTTGCTCACTTTTCCACCTACCACACAGCTTTACAGTATCATAAAATGGAAACCAGAGGAAAATATGAATAGCAATGAAACAAAGGAAGATCAATTTAGAAAGAAGATAAGGAGGTCAGATGATAAATAAAACTGAGTTAAACTGGGAAACAAAGCAAACGATGACAGATGAAGGGAATATTTTGTCCATTGCTATTAAGTTAATAGCGAAAACAACAGAATTGGTACAAAAGTGACAAGGCACGATGAAGTTAAATGGATCAGGATCCCTCAGTGATCATAAAAACTCAGTAGTATTGTTCATGCTGTGCAAAATCAAATACAACCGATAGTCCTTAGTCACAATGTTTTTGAGCATCAAATTGGCAATGACACCAAACAACAGATGGAGAGATCATGAATCAAGAGGCCACCTTATGTTTTCAGACAAAAATATCCCTCGAGGTCCTTTTGTATTCATAACTAGAATTTAAGCAATTCACTTGTATTTCTTTGAAACAAGAGGTCTCCAATTTAAGACCAGCAAGTGAGGGTGGCTACTGCAATGTAGAACAACTGTCTGCTTTTTGACTGTGGTATTGTACAATGTAGTAGTGATTGAAACCAGGAGGGTTTCATCCCACCACTGGGATGGACCAAATAGCCTGAGTGCTTAAAGATTCTATCCTCAGTAAAAGGACAGAAGCTTTTCTTGACATTGCAGCTCAGTTGTTGGGAGGGCAAATAGGAAATCAGTTACTGGTAGAGATTCACCTTTCAGCCTTGGTCCAAGCACCTTTGCATATATCATACTCTGTCTTTCTGCTGTATTTTGGGTCTTGTTTCTCACGACAGATAAACTTCAATTCTCAGCCTATTCACCTGATATTCCAGATAGCTATCCACAAGAATCTGACAAATCCTGTGTGTTCAGATATTGACTTTACATTAGCAAACCAACAGAAAAATAAATTCAATAAAATAAATGCAACTTCTTGCCCCCTTGCTGAGTAAACACATTACAAGTAGCAGCAGATATATACGCCATTCAGTTCCTCAAGCCTGCTCTACCACTCAAGGAGATCACGGCTAATCTGAATGCAACCTCAACTCCACAATCTACTATTCAACTCTGACCCCTGATAATTTTTTACCACTTCACTTATCAAGAATCTACTTAACCTCTGCCTTTATAACATCCAAAAACTCAAACTTTCTATCAAAAGGCAGTGGAACCTTCTGAGTAAAGAAAAATTCTCCTCCTGTTTTAAACAAGCAATCAAATTTTTAAAAAAATATAATCCCCAATCCTATTTTCTCCAACAAAAGGAAACATCCTTTTCACATCAGTACATCCACTGGTTCCCCTTTATCCACAGCACATGCTACCTCCTCAAAGAAATCCAACAAATTAAATATTTTTCCTATATTACTCAGTCTGAAAAGGCAAATTAAAAGACAGATTATTTTCGGTACTTAAAAAATTATCATTTTGGAAAGCACACATCCAATTCTGGCCTCTTGCACATTCTTAACTTATTTACTCCACTACTGATTTCTGCGTCATTGCCCTAATTGCTAATCAAGCATCTGTAACATGCGATTCCTGCAGACTAAGGAAAACCTTTGCAAAATTGCAATTATACATATATTTCATATTTATATTTATCACGTGATGCCATTCAATTTTCAGCCCTGTGTTCATTAGCATAGACTGGCATAGACCAGCAATTCTAGGATTTTGAAATTCTTATGCTGGTTTTCAAATTCTTACATGGTCTCATCCCACCCTATTTCTGCAACTTCTACTAATCCCACAAATATCCAGGAGCTTTGCATTTTTCTGATTTGGTTTCTTGCTCATCTTCCATTTTAATTGCTCCACCATTGGCAACCACCCCTTCAGCTGTCTGGGTTCCATAGCTTTGGACTTGCTTTCCAGATCTTTTCCTGCTGTCCTCCTTAAAATCGATCTTCAATGTGGGTTTTGGTGACCTGCCCCAACATCGGTCAGTATCAATTTTAGGCTGACACGTCCCCTTTCTACCCACTTGGGATATCTATGCACTTTGAAGGCAGACAAGAAATTCAAGTCCTGGTTGAGGCAAAGAAGCACTTACTTGTGGAGGCGGAGTGATGCTTTCTTGCTCATAGAATTCAGACGTCTGACGTGGTTTAATCTGAAGACTCAAGCCTTTTTCAAAAGCCTGGTGCTCCAGCATCAATGTGGATCGAAACCAGAGGTTGTGCGTTTTGCCCAGATACTTCAGTACACAGGGTCTGATGGAAATGTGGGGGACACACTGGGACATCGCCTCAACAAAACAGTTCAGAGCACTTGGCTGGCAGTCTCTCTGCACTTGATGACTTCCGCTGCACAGAAAAGGACTTATCTCTCCTGCCAGAGCCTGAGAAGCAAAGAAGTGTAACAGCCACTTGGAGAAAAGATTTTTGAAGCATTCATATTTCTGGCATTCTGGCAAATACTCTGCCATAACATTTTAGAGCTTGAATTTAAAAACTTGTTCAATTTTACATTATTTACTGCTATAAATGCACACAGTTAAATTTCAGCAGAAAAAAAATGGCGTTGATGGTACTGGGACACAAAGAAATTGCTGAAGGAGGATCACTGGACACCAAAATGTTAACTCTGCTCTCTCTGCACTGAGGCTAGCAGACCTGCTGAATTCCTCCAGCAATTTCTCTTTTTGTTTTAGATTTCGAGCATCTGCAGTTCTTCGTTTTATTTCAGTGAAGGTATGGTTTTTCTTTGCTGACTGGTTTGTTAAGGTACCAGGATTCAATCACGTTAATGAAGAAATGAAGATGAGGAGCACAGGAATGGGAGAAAGTTCAGATGGAACATGAAGAAAGGCACAGATCAATTTAAGATCAAGATGAGCAGCAATTTCTTCTTTCAGGCAGTTCACAGCCTTTGGAATTTCTTGCACAGACAGCTGTGGGGGCAGAGTCCTTGTATATATTTAAGGCTAAGATTGATAGATTCTTGATCAGTACGTGAATCAAGGCTGGCAGGGAAAGGGCAAGAAAGTGAACGAGGAATGTCGGATCAGCCACAATCCTACTGAATGGCAGAGGAGGCCTGAGGAGCCAAATGGCCTACTCAGGTTCCTATTTCTTATGGTCTTATAGTTGGATCAAATGTAAATTCTAGGTGTGTGGGGCTAGAGTGACATGTTGGCTAAACTGAGTATGGATGCAAGCTTGCCATCCTTGAAGGATATTAGTGAGCCAGTTAGTGCTGAAGAATATCATTATGATCATTTTTCTCTAATTTGTTGAATTGAATTTACAGCAAGTCATGATAGCGTACGAACTCTCAATGTCTAAGTTGCTAAACCAGCACAATAGTCATGACACCCAGCAAAGCCAAGGACTGACCCTTCTATATTATGATATCAAGCATTTCTCTATTGCTGGCTACATATGGTCAGAGAACTTTGAAAATATTTTACATGCTCCATGATTCCAAGGTCATTACAATTTTGTGTTGAGAACTACTAGGCTCGACATTAAAAAAAGCCTTGGTCTCCATTTTAAACCTCTCACTTTCAATGTTAAGTCTATGCTCCTTTGTTCTAAACAAGCCTAATGCCTATATCAGTCATGATTCAGTGGATAGTTCTCTCACCTTGAGGTTCTTCAGCACAATTTTTTTTATTCATTCATGGTACGTGGGCACAGCTGGCTGGCCAGCTTTTATTACCAATCCCTAGTTGCCCTTGAGGCGATAGTGGTGAGCTGTCGTTTTGAACCACCGCAGTGCACACACTGTAGGCTGACCTACAATGCCCTTCGCGAGAAGATTCCAGGATTTTAACCCATTGACAGTGAAGCATCAGCGATATACTTCCAAGTCAGGATGAGTGGCTTGAAGGTGGTGGTTTTCCCACATTCAAGCTATCCTTGTCCTTCTAATTAGAAGTGATCATGGGTTTGGAATGTGCTGTCTAAGGATCTGCAGTGCACCTTGTAGATAGTACACACAGCTACTACTGAGCATCGGTGGTGAAGAGAATGGGATGCTTGTAGATGTACTACCAATCAAGTGAGTTGCTTTGCCTGGATGGTGATAACCTTCTTTGGTGTTGTTGGAGCTGCACCCAGCTAGGCAAGTGGGGCATATTCCATTACCCTCCTGAGTTGTGCCTTGTTGATAGTGGACAGGCTTTGGGGTGTAGGGAGGTGAGTTACTTGCCACAGTGTTCCTAGCCTCTGACTTGCTCTTGTAGCCACAGTGTTTATGTGTTGAGTCCAGTTGAGTTTCTGGTCAATGATAATCCCAAGGATGTTGATACTGGGTGATTCAATCATTCTAACACTATTGAATGTCAAGGGGAGGTGGTTAGATTGTCTCTCATTGGAGATGGTCATTGCCTGGCATTTGTGTGGCAACAAGGTTACTTGCCACTTGTCAGGCCAAGCCTGGATAATGTCCAGATCTTGTTGCAGTTGAACATGCACTGCTTCAGTATCTGAGGAGTCATGAAGGGTGAATATTGTGCAATCATTGGCAAACCTTCTGACCTTTTGATGGAGGCAAGGTCATGGATCAAGTTGACAATCTTGTGCAATAATGACAGAGTGCTTCATTCTCAAAGATGACGACTTTCATGGGACATTAAACTGAGGCACTTTCTGATGGAAATTATCCTATGGTGCTACTGAGATGAAGGGAGTTTTCCCTAGAGCTCTAATTAACTTTTATCCCTCAACCAACACCATTAATAAATATTGCAACTGGGAGATTTTTAGACTGTAGTTTCTGGAGTTCATCGTGTAAACATAAAAATAGTGCTTCCTTAAGTGGAGAAACTATGTTAATATGATGACAATAAAATAATTAAATGGAAAAATTTCAGGACTGAGCATTTTCATCCATACACTCACATGCTGTTGCCTATCAGATAGTATCTTCCAAAGCCTTGGAAAGAGCTGGATCCAGGTTTTCTCAGCCAGTGCTGTGCTAATGTGACATAATTGAACATATGCACTCAGCAGTGCTCCAGTCTACCAAAAGGAAAAGAAAAAAAAAGTCAGAATACAGGGGAAACTAAAAACTCTAAATCCCCTGCCCACAAACATACAAATTTACTTTGGTTAAAAAGCAGCAGCACACTAAATAATCCTGAAGCAGGGTCTTCATTTCTATTTCTGGTCCATCATTAAAGGAAGTTATAAAATAATTGCTGCTGTAACTTCTCAATAAAGGGTTTCTTCTCCATTCGATATTTTATAGTAAAATATAAAACACAAAAAAAGGTATCAAATGAAGCCAAACCAACTGTGCAAATAAATCTAACCTGTGATTTACCAGTCAACCTTGGCCAGGTAAAATGACACAATAAGGACTGTGTAACACAGTGAGACTGCTTCAGCAAAAGCCACTAATGCATCATTCATTGCCATTACTGGCATTTATTTGCATAAGCAGGCCATCTGCAATTTAATTAAGTGCTCCTCTCAAATATCACTGTGCATAATGGTACATTTAAACAATATCAAATTTTACCTTTTCAACACAAGTTGGGTTAGTAACCGACTCCTTTATTCGTTTCATAGAATCTTGCAACACAGGAGACCATTTTGCCCAGTGTGCACCTGCCAGCTCTTTCAAAGAGCTACCTTAATTAGTTTCAAACTAGTTCATTCTTCCACCACAGCCCTGCAAATTTCCCCTTTCATGTATTCATCCATTCTTTTTTTGAAAGTGACCAGTGAATCGGTCGCTAACAGTCACTTAATAATTTAATTCAAGTGCCAAAGTATTATTTGGCAGACGTGTGCCAAAATAGAGAACCACGATGATTCAGGAGTTTGATAAATATTTTCCCCTTGATTCAGAATGATGAGCTACTTGTTTTCTCCATGTGGGCTTTATGTATCATTCTTTATGCAAACCTCTAACTTAAACAGTGCACTTAAGAAGAAAGACCATACTAAACAATAAATCAACCTGCAAACTTAATAGCATCATTAAACACAATCAACACTTGGAGGTGAATTTTACTTTTATTAGCTAATTGAGTTGTCATAGCAAACATGGCTGACATTCTCTCACTCTTCAGAAAAGAAGGGTCTAGACCCAAAACGTCAGCTTTCCTGCTCCTCTGATGCTGCTTGACCTGCTGCGTTCATCCAGCTCTACACCTTGTTATCTCAGATTCTCCAGCATCGGCAGTTCCTACTATCTCTATCATATAAAGGTAGGTATTCAGACATTTCCAAAGACAAGCTTTTATTTGTAATCAGCAAAATGAACACAAACAATCTCAAGAGGCTGAATTTTGCCCCTAAGCCAACCAAATGCAGGCAATATGATCAATGACTAGACTACAGACCATGATGATCTGTTGCACTCAGCTCTCATCTACTGGAACAGGGTGTCAATCAGGTCCTGTCTCATTAGTAGCACCCGATGCAATTCAGCTCTTTCTTGTATGTGGACAGATTCCTCCTCTCCTACATCCTAATCTCCTACATCCTGCTCAGAAGACTGGTCCCATTCTCCCACCTTATCAGTATCTATCACAATGCTTCATTGTCTGCTTCAAGTCCACAGAGCAGAACCAGGACGATGCAGCACATTGTCCTGCCTATATTGTAAACACTCCCCCCACCACGACCACTCCAAGCAGCGGAATCACATGTTCAGCAGCCCCATCATCTGCCCGACCATAGCCCTGTTTGCAGCACATGCACCAACTTGATGGCGGTGCTGCACCATATCAGTAGCCAGCATATTACATCAAAACAGGAGTGCCTACTGCACTCTGATCACTTCCCATCCCACACCCACATCAACCATGAAACTTAACAGTGAATTCAATACAGTCCACCTCCATATTTACACCTACGTTCCTCTCTTCAAAACAGCACCCTTAGAAGTTTCACAACTGATGGGATACTTTTGACCAGCATTTGCTGCCTTTAAGTCATTAGTGCCAGCTTCCACATCACTGAGATGATGTTTGAGTTGCAAGCACTGGTGCACTTCGCCTTTGACCAGATTTTGACACCTAAGCACATTCATTCTATATGCATTGCAAATGGACAAAGAAATAATTGCAAACAAAATGTAGCTGGAGTTTGCAAATGAATGTTTCACCTATTTGATCCTTAAAAGTCCTGGTATTCAGCATTCTTGAATCCCACGTTTCAGCTCATCAAACTAACACTGACTCTGCCAAATGTAGGCACTGTACCAGCCATTTTTCAGTTGCATTTCACATCTAGAACTCGCAGCAGACGCTGTCAGCACTGGGCTCTACCTGGTTGCTACCTAAGTCCCCAAAGCCTCCATGTCCCCTTTTATTTCACTCTACCGTGACAGTCCATTTCCACCCATTCCCACCATGTGGAGACCTAACACATTGAACTTCAACTCCAACTGCCCTCCACACCCCTTGAACCCTGACATCGCATTTGAATGATGCCCATCCTGCTCCACAACACTTCCCCTGTGGAAACTACAGTTGTGGTCGTATTCAATAAACCCCCTCATGCAGTATGCTCTCTGATGGTGATCTGCATGCACCCCACACGTCTGGAGTTTCACTTGATCACCATTCTTGTCCTTGCCACACCACTCCCCCAATCCATATGACTTTGTTTTCCCTCCCCGTCTAGATACCCCCATCCCTTTTGGCAATGAATCTCTCTACTGCTTCTCCAGGCCCCCTTTGCACCCCTCTCAATGATCAACTCCAGGCATTCATTCCAGACCTCTGTCTGATTTCAACATGCATCCCCAGATATGAGAGACTAGAACCCTGACTGCTATCTTTGCAGCTCCCCAACTGATGTGATCCCCTGACTGCTGCTGCTGCTAGTCCTACAATTCCAACAGTTTTCCACTCCCAGACTATAGGCGGACAGTTCTCCATGACCTTGAGTAGCCCAAGCAAATGATTGACAACGGCCAAACTGGTTTGTGTGTGGACTGTGCCCATAATTGACAGTACCAGGAGCCCCTGACAGACAACCTTGAGCAGATTGAAAACTAGCCCCACTCAATTACTGGCATGGCCATTTGGTTGAATAAATGTACAGTATTTGCACAGTGCAGGAACAAAGCACATGATGCAAATGTGAGATTGATGTCTCTGTACTGTATAGCAAGGCATTTCTTTCCCCTCTCGACCCTCCACATCCACTACTGAGCTCTAATGACAAGCATGGCAAAACAGCATATTAATAGGACAATACCGATAGCCCCCATTTCTGGCTGAAGTATCAATATGCTAACTTGCATGGAATGTCAAGGAGCAACAAGGCAAGGCCTAGATGCTACAAGCATGTAGATAGGTGCTAAGTTAGTGAGCATTAAGACAGCAAGCAAGCAGCCCCAAGATGCAACCAAGTCCAGTCCATAAACTATGCCTGTCCCTGCATGCAAAGCAGTCTTTTAATGCCAGCTATCAGTGCAGCCAGCAAGCGGATCGGAGAGGTGCTGTGATGATTGCGAGGAGTTGGCGAGCGTCTGATGCCAAAATTGGCTGATCAGGGCTGTCAGAGTGTAGTTGGCAGTCATGGATCATGCCTTAAGATGCTGTTTGCTACTTCAGCAACGAGCTGAAGTCGCCAGGTACCTATTCTGACTTGCATGTTGAGAAGTCTCTACCCAACTCGACTGTCACATTTGGTAAGATAGCAAGCTGAATATCAATGAGGTGTGTTGCAGTGTTTATTTGGTGTTTAATAAGCTATAGACCCCCTTCATTGGGACCTCGCACCTTGCCACCTGGCAGATACGTAAAGATACTACAAGTTGCTGCTAAAGTCAAGATAGCCCTGCCTGGCCATTTTTTGGCCAGATTCTGCCACAAATATCACCATAGCCAAGATCACTCAGGTCCTTATAAGGTTCACCACTGAATCCAGCTCGCATGAATTAAATTTCATTTTATTCACCTTAACTTCTCTCAGAGAGTCCAGAAACTTATCATGTCTGTTTGTCAGCATGTGCAACTGGTTCCCAGCATCTTTTTCAGACTGTTCCTTGGTTTTCGGAGTACCACTCTGATCTCCTGGTGCCAGCTCAATATCAATCTCCACATCCTAAACAAGTTAATAAAGAACATACATAAAACAGCCAGTCAGTCATGATTATTGTAACGACATGGCAGCAAAAATAAATTCTAATTGTGATGGAAATTTTAATAATGGGACAAAATAATAGCATTGCTGTGGAATAAAACATTCTCATACAAGTCATAACAGCAGATAACTTCTTAGGGCAGCATGGTGACTCCATGCTTAGCACTGCTGCCTCACAGTACCAGAGACCCAGGCTCGATTCCATTCTCACGTGACTTTGTGGAATTTGCACTTTCTCCCAGTGTCTGCATGGGTTTTCTCCAAGTGCTCCGGTTTCCTCCCACAGCCCAAACATGTGCAGGTTAGGTGGATGGGCCATGCTAAATTGCCCATAGTGTCCAGGGATGTGTAGGTTAGGTGGGTCAGCCATGGGAAATACAGAGTTACAGGGATAGGGTGGGGGGATGTATGTCTGCATGGGTGCTCTTTGGTGGGTCGTTGTGGGCCAATTGGCCTACTTCTGTACTGTAGAGATTCTATGATTCGATCAATAAAGTCTGGAGGCCTCTTGCAAAACTCCATTTTCCTCTGCTCCACCATTATTTTCATCTGCTTGGGCCTTAACCTCTGGAATTCCCTTACGGTACCTCACCACCTTTAGGATCTCCCTTATAACCTCCTTTGGTCAAGCTTTTGGTCATTTTTCCTGATATCTCCTTAAGTGGCCCTTGTCCTGGAGAACACCTACAAATGTTTTACCATGTTAAAGCAAGTTCTCGTTAATTTTTAATAGGGCAATCTAGCAATTTGGCAACACTGTTGAAATTCAATTCAAAATCAAGGCAGCAAACGTGCTTGGTTTCCACTCACAAGCATGACCACACTGCATAACAAATGATTCTTTTCTTAGGATAAACACAAACGAACATGTTAATATCTATAAATTAATGAATACATTGCTTCTCCGCACCAGTATTTAACAGAGTGTTCCCCGAAAAGACTGAATCTGGAGTAGCATCTGGGTTCTTTCGTGTTGTTTTGAATGCAATGTGTTTTTTTTTTGATGATGGGAATACCAGTGTTACAGGCTAGGCCAGTTTTTATTAACCATCCCTATGCAACACTGTTTCCTATCTAAAAAGGATGGAATACATTGCAGTATTCTGTTATTCTGTCAAATGCAAATGAAAGGGTACATATGGACACTATTCTATAGTGGACACTCATTTCTTTAGATAACTACCCCTCTCCAGCAATCTTTCCCACGCTCATCTCCCAAAGCTTCATGAAGTGAGTTGGTTTTAAAATCTCAAAATAACGTTAGCACTCTGTCAAAAGGAAAATCCGTTTTGGGACTCCCTAATTGCATGTGTCTTGAGCTCATCATACACAGAGGAAATCTTTACATGAAGAATAGTACTCAGCCTGAAGGCAAATCAAATTTCTCTCACATAATTAACAAGGATTCCAATTCCAATTAAATCCAGGGTTCGACGTACTTTGAAAAATGTACCAATTTGATATGCTTAGTTACAACCTGCGTCCAAATTTTGCTTACATACCATTTTATACTATTTGACAAACAACTGGTTTGTTTGTGTCAACTCTGATCTACATCATTCGCTTGCAGCCAAAATCAGAACCAGGGGCAATGATGTAACTTTGTCACTATTAAACACAACATGAAATTCCGGAGAAATTTCATTATGCAGAGAATTGTTGAATGTGCAATTTGCTACATGTGGATTGCTGAGACAAATAATGGGAAGTTAGACAAGTCTATCAGGGAGAAAGTAATAGAAGGATCTGTTAAGACAACGTAAATTGGAATGGCCGCAAGCTCAAGTGGAGGAGTAAATATGACGTGGATTTTTTGGACCAACTGGCGTGTTTCTGCTTTGCAATGGCTATTTTGGCAACATTAAAATTAAATATGAAAAATCAAACCACCTCCTCCTTGCTCTCGCTGTTCTCCCTCTCCCTGGGCTCTTGTTTCACATGTGTCACCATGGCAAAGGCTGCACGATCATGGCTGTCAGCCAGATTAATGACGTTGGTGATGGATGGCAGCATAGCACCTTGACAGTTGGTGCCAATGGTGGTATTTTTTTCACATACCGCAAGGAGAAGCTGTGGAAGGAGAATAAAAAAACAAAAGGAAATGCAATAATCAAAATGACGCTCATGCAGGGCTTGGCAAGATAATAAATATTTTAAACCAACAAATCTTCACCAATTCTTCCTTCAAAAAGAGACATGTTTTTAAACTCTAAACATATTGGCAACATCACTAGGGGTCTGACTTAGAGAAGTTAATGAGTCAAACAACATGGAAGAGCCTAAATAACACACTCAGCTTAAATGACTGGATCCCAAGGTTAAAGACTCCATGTAATGTATCAATTTATCTCCCAAGAATGAGATCAATCAAACCAATTCCTCCACATTAATTAAGGAAATAAAAATCAGAACAAATCATTTAATTGTACTGTTATGTGCAAGATTCTAACTAAGACTGCTTGGCCCAAAGGACCAGCAAGAAAATGCATTCCCAGGGCAGAAGTGACATGACTGAGACAGAACATGTCAGCAACCTCAACTGGAAAGGTGAATACCAGGACTAGATTCAGCTGGGATAAACAAACTTCTTGTTAGCATTACTGCGCAGAGATGCCAATCTGGGCAAGTATCAGGGAATAGATAAATGTCTGTGGAGTGATACTAGTGCCAATATCTTCTGAGTAGAAAGGAACATAATTGAATTGCTGGCTGGTAGAAGAGAGAAATCTAATAAAATGTTATCCATAAAGTTGAATAAGCTGCAAACCACCTGTCAGAAGATAGAGGGGAGACCTGATAGAGGTCTTTAAGATTACAGAAGGGTTTGATTAGATAAGTGAAAAGATATTGTTTCTACTTGTGGCGGAGACCAAAAGAAAGGGTCATAAATATAATGTGGTCATTAATAAATCCAATAGTGAATTTAGGAGAAGTATCTTCACCCAGAAAGCTGTTAGAAAGTGGACTGCGGTACTGCAAGGAATGATCAAGACGAGTAGTATAGATGCATTTAAGAGGAAGTTAGGAAAAAATGAGAAAAAGTAATAGAAGGATATGATTATGGGATTAGATCTGACCAGGGAAAAATACAGTTCCTGGGATTCTGAACCTGGATCACAGCTGAGGAAAGGCACACAGCATGCACCAATGAAAGCAATGCAATCACAGTGCGCATGATTCCATCATCTGGGGTCAGAAATTGTAAGATTAAAACACAGATCCCGAAGAACCTCAAGGCCAGAGGAAGTATTTCTAGCTAAGCTGGAGTTAGCCATTGATCTGAGGCCAAAGATGAGCTTTTCTTGGAAAGTGCAACTTCCATGTTAAACCAGAGTATGTGAAAAGAAACAAAGTAGAACGAGGGAAGTGTATATTTAAAGACTAAATTACTGCAGTTTTTATTTGCCTTTTAGTTTTGCAATTTTATACACATCATTTTAAAAACTTCAACTTTAATACACTTCATCAAAAGTTAAGTAAATTCTTCCAAAGTTCGCTTTCTCATTCCCTCACTGAAGGGCTGATTCTAGCTGGGTGTAGGCAGTCCACGACTTGAATCTGTGATCTTTATATTTGGATTGGCAAAGTAATACAGTAAAGAGTGCCCTTACCCACTAAAACAATTATGTATCTATAACCTATTTGAACTATCTTTTATCTGTATACTTATCATCAACTTTATTACATTACAAATTCTTTAGCTACATTTATAATGGCACTAAGGCTGAGGAACTTTAGTTAAGCAGGGAGACAAGAAATGCTAGGATCTTTCTCCTTAGAGCAGAGAAAGTTTAGTACAGATGTTCAAAATCTGTAAGTGTACTATTAAGATGAAGAAGAAAGTATTTCTGTTGCCAGAAGAATCATAAACCTTTCGCTGTAAAAATCACTGTAGTGCTATCAGACCGTAGGATTGCTCTCTCATTAGAGAGAGACGACTGGTGGTTGGTTAGCCCAGAGGTCACCATGTCTCAGGAAAGGGGAGAGAACAAGGAGGAGAGCACTTCGTGGTAACCTCAGCCAGTATCAGAACTGAACCCAAAGTTGCCGTCACTCTGCATCACAAACCAGCCCTTCAGTCAACTGAGCTAACCAACTCCAAACTAAGGGACTTAAAATAAGTGGTAAATGAACCAGCAGGTAATTGATTTGTAGACCCAACAAAAACTTGATGTAAATCTTGCTGGAGGACAAAAGATTGAGGTATTGAAAGATAAATGCTGCTACTTACTACTGGTCCCAAGAAATGGATTAACTAAAGATGTTCATAAGCAATCTCTCTCAAATGTTTAGAGATAGATCTCTGTGATTAGTTATTTAGGTGTTTCCAAAAATTATGCTGAAAAAGCATCTTCTGCTCCCGTCAGACATGCAGCTAAGGTTTAAAATTTTAGGTGAATGATCAATGTAATAAAAACTGAATAGTGTGTGGTTTTAAGGTTAAGATTTTGTGTAGAGAAATTTAAAAGTTAAGAACATTTTCCTAACAGGCGCGGACAAGGTTACAGATGCACTTACAGTCTTAGTCATACATTAATATAGCATGTAAACAGGCCCTTCGGCCCAAACTGGCCCATGCTGACCATGATGCCCACTCTGCTAGTTCCAATTGCCCACATTTGGTCATATCCTTCTAAACCCTTTCCATCCGTGTACCTATCCGAATGCTTTTTAAATGTTGTTATTGTACCTACCTCAAACACTTTCTCTGGCAGCCTATTCCATATATGCACCACTCCCTCTGTGAAGTTGTTGCCCCTCAGGTCCTTCTTAAATCTCCCCCCTCTCACATTAAACCTATGCCCTCTAGTTTTCAATTCCCCATCCCTGGGAAAAAGACTATATGCACTCATCCTATCTATGACCCTCATGATTTTATACACCTCAATAAGGTCGCCCGTGAATCTCATACATTTCAAGGAATAAATTCCTATCCTGGCCAACCTCTCCTATAACTCAGGCCTACTAGTCCTGGCAACTTCCTCGTAAATCTTCTTTGCACACTTTCCAGTTTAACTATGTTTTTCCTATAACAGGGTGACCACTTGGTTACATCTTTGTTAAAATGAGCCGAGGTGATTGAATCTCAGCTCAATGAATGAACGAACATGGGAGACAGGATTTGGATGACTATACACCCTATAAGATGTGGTAACTGACTCGGAAATGCTTTTTGATCTCTCCACATTTGCTCTTTTAAGTATATTTGTCCCTTGGTTGTTCTTGGACCATCACTTAAAGCAACATTTATTTTTGCAAGACAAAAGCAAAATACTGCAGATACAGGGCATCTGAAATAAAAAGAAAATATTGGAAGTACTCAGTAGTCAGGCAACATACTTGAAGAAAAAGTGCACCATCGGGCTTCAAAGCCATTGAAAAGAGGCGTGACCAACTACACTGCTCCCATTAATCCAAGGGGTATGAAAGACAGGGTACTCGTGATTTTGCTGTTGTTATGTAATACATAATGAACAAAGTATAATTCTCAAAATAAATGTCATTTCTATCTGTACAAAATTTCAACTTTATTATAACCATTAATTTCTTCGTTATTTACAACTAGTCCCCAAAATAATTGCCATGCCCAGATGTGATCTTCTGGCTAAAAGGTTTACCCATCTTGATTAAATAAGGTATAGCTGTGGGGAGGCTCAAACAAAACATAAGACCTGCAGAGACAGTTTATTGTTCAAATGGGCTGCTTCCGTGCTGTACGCAATCTACTTTTAACCAATCCTAAATCTGCCCACTCTAAAATTGTTGATAATATCTTGAAATGCATGACTGATAAAGTCAAATGGTTAGTGTTCTTGGAAGAGGTATTATGAGAGATCAAAAGGGAAATGGTTCACTCTGTACGAAAACACTACAACTGTACAACAGATTTAATACACTGAAAGTTGCAGGTTTTGCACAAAGAGCTTTTTGCGTGCGCACACATTCCCTAAAGCTTTGAGGAGTCAAGGGAATCTGCTTCATTTTAAAGAAGATTCCTTATAGTTTATGAAATGAATACACTGGGTCACTTCCGCACTTCAAGTTCCAGAGCTCCAATAGGAGAAAACACGCCATATAAATCACATCTCCTTCAAATCATGCAAAGTACTTTGTACTGAATCATTGCCATTTGTTAATTTATGTCAAAAAACAAAGTGCACACACCTTGATAATTTCTTATTTGGCTCTGCATTAAATCTTAGCTGAGGTGAAATGCAACAAAGTCCCTAGTTTTACCTTAGAAATTAACTAGACTTGTTTTCTGTATCATTCTTTTCCCCAAGCTTGGGAGATGAATGCATTTCATTCAACTATTCAGCCTGTGCTCAGAACCTGCCTCCCTTTCTGCAACGTATGCAAGTTTCTAAGTTTCGTGGTGCAATTCAAACACCTTCTCTGGAAATCTGGCAAAATGAAAGAACTTTTTCGAGCCACTTTTTCCTCACCTCTATGCACTGTTTGATCCAAAAATGGCTACCCATAGCCTCCCAGTTTTGGGAACATGTAATATACAGTAGACGATCATACACCCGGCGCCGCATGGAGTTATCAAAAACTTCGAAGAATTTGGCCCGAATGTGCGGTTGGCAACACCGTAAGCCTGCCAGGAAGGCTGGCTCTAGCTTCGCAGTAAGCTCACTGCCAGAGAGGTTCTCATCCCTGCATTTGACCACAAAATCATACCAGTCAATACATTCACAGTAATTAAAAGCAGCCAAACAGTATTACAGGTAGATCAACTGATGTCATTTAAATACCATTTTAGTTAGAATTACAGAATCATACAGTGCAGGAGCATGCCATTTGTTCCATCATGCCTATACCAGCTCATTTATTTGTACCCCTTTGCTTTTTACCCCACAGACCAGTAAATATTTTTCTTTTAAGTATTTGGGGTAAAGAAAAGCTATCTACTCACAAAGTATAGAAGCAGCAATTCAACTTAATTTCACATAATTCTCTCAGACAATAACTGTTCTGTATCTGTATGTCATTATTCCATATTTAGATACTATGATCAATTCTTATTAGTCAATATCAAATTATTTAATTGACCCTCAACATATACAACCCTTTTTGGGGGTGTGGCGGGGAAGGAATGTGGGCAATTTACATTTTCTCTATACTGTATATGCAAAACCAAAAAAGTTTCCCAAATTCACTTTCTAACAGTTAGGCCTTTGTTTTAAGTTTTTGCCCCCTTGTTCTAGACTCCCCCATGACAGGAATTAATGTCTCTAAATCACCATATAATATCCTTTTCTTATTTTGGCATCCTCACTTAGATCTCCCCTCCAAATTCAAAGCAGTGTATGCAAACCCAGCTCATAGTTAAACTCATTGAGCTCTGGTATTCTGCTCAATCTATGTTATAACAACTTCCAAAGGTCAAAATATTCTTCCAGAATTCAGATGCTCCTTTAGATTCAACGATTTGAGAGAAATTGAATGACAATATTATGTAATTATTGAGAGTTGTTTATTTTGTGCTAAGGAACCTGGTCAAGTTGTGACGGCACTGCTGTGAAACCAGACAGCAAGCGAGAGAGAGACAGACAGAAAGAAAGAAAGAAAGAAAGAGAGATTAAAAAAAAGGAGTGGAGATAGACCAAGTAACGGAGGTGAGTAATTAATAATGAAATCAAAAACATGTAACGATGCCTAACTTGGAATTTATCTTCATACTGTTCTCGTTCCTGTGCCTAGAATCCTTCCTTTAATGAATTTTTTTGTTCCATTATTATCTATGCCAAGATAAAATGCCTATTTATTCTGTGGACACATGGGATTTCAAAGATGATTTCAAAGTCAACCCACTTTTAACAATGTTTCAGGTCATAAAAGTACATTTAAGAGGTAGGGAAAGAAATATTTTCCTTAACAGATCCTCCTCCTGGACTCCATGTTAATCAACACATAAAACAAAATGTAGCATAACGCACCTGCAAACATGCTGCAAGGTTGTACACTTGGAATAGTGAATTAGCATTTATAAATTGAGGTTTCTTTTCAGCAATATTCAAAATAATTTGAAAAATAAACTTGCATTTCCTTCAGAGCCAAACTTAGCTAAGAAAGTAACGTTAAAATTAGCTTCATTCTGTATAGCAATACACTTAATGCAGGCCCCACAGTTAATCCTAAGTTTAATCAAAAATAGCTGCAAATTATTTTTGTGTATAACACAAGTTAGAATACAGACAAAAACTAAGCCATACTGTATTGCATTTTCAAACTGAATATAAATTGCATTAGCCTCTCAAGAGCACAGTGCAAAGTCAGAAGTGTGCAAGCTAATGAAATACAACTTTTGATTAATTACTACAATTACCTATAGACATAGTTAACGAGGTCCAAGAACTGGGCATTTAATTCAAGGTCATCTGGAAAGCGTTTTTCAATGTAGGTCATCATTTTAACCAGTAAAATGGACTTCTCTCTCAGCGTAGGTGTCTGCACAGAATATAGAAAATTATTCATTCCACCATTTTTTTTTGTTGTCCTGCTTTGAAAGAACAAATTCTAAATGTTTAGCTTGGAAAAACAGAGTTAGTAGTAAACATATCAGTGGGAACAAACCAGAGACAGGCAGGGAGGTATGATAACATTAACCAGTATCAAACACAGTGACTTCAGTAACAGAGCAAGTCACCTCTGAAATAGGATTCCACTCCAGCATTGATTGAGAGTAAAACTTGCACGTAGCTGATATTTTTTAAAATAAAAATCACATTCAGCCCCAGCTGAAGATCTGTGACAGCACAGTACTCCACCTGTGATGGAAAATCGCAGGCATAGGCATGTAATTTGAAAACGGAAATTGATAAGCATTTATCTCATAAGGAAATAACTGCCCACTCTTAATACTTAAACCAGAGGACAGAATTTAATAAGCAGAGCACTGTATTAATGTGAAGTGGAAGGCTCTTATGACTTGATGTGAAATGCTCGTATGACTCAGCAGTCAGGTAGATCGGAGTTCTCACTAAACTGCATGACATACAAATAACATTAGTGCGCCATCAAAAGGCAACTGCACATCACTTTAGCTTTGAACACAATATGGTAGAGCTGCAGTCTGGTCTGACAGAAGGCTGCATTCTGCACCAGTTTGACACAGTACCATGTGACCTAATCAATATCATTTTGGAGCAGGCTCTCCCAGTAAACTGGGAATGGAGCAAGTAGTTATGCAGGTGATTAGGTTAATTCATTAATTAATTGATAGGGTAGTGTAGAAGGAGTTCTACGAGTGAGCAATTGATAAACTCTTTCCACAAAGAATGGCATATTGGTTTCCATCCGACTGACAATCTGAGATCTAAAAGAGGCATTGGCAGCAGAGGATGGTCACGTAAAGATGAAAATTGGGAGGTAAGGTTTTCTTTTTCAGACAGACGAATAGAATTGGAATTGGTCTGGAGAAGAATAGATGAACCCATACAAAAAAAAGGTGTCAGGATGAGATCCCACTGATGTTTTGTGAAGTACAACCTCATGTTCAATGGAAAAATGAATTGAACATGTGGACACAGGTTAACTCTTCAAAAGATGCGGCAAGGTACAGCCTCAACACTGATCACTTCCTAGTAGAAGCAAGATCAGGTGGAAAACATTCTCTCAAAGCTAGTGTCTCAACAACTGGACACTGGAGGAGGTTTGGAAATCTTATATTAAATATTTAAATTTACAGACAAAATTGATAAGATGATGACATATTTAAATTTATTAATATCTACCCTGAACTGATAAGTCCATGCATCGATACAAATGAAGAAGCATAGAAACAAATGGTTTGAGGCTACATTGAATATCAACAGATTTTTGAAAGAAATCTAAAAATTCCTAAAGGAATGAGCGATCAGAACACCTTCCCTCTCCCACAACACCCAAGCTGGAGAAGAGAATAGCTCCACTTTTTTTTTTTTTGCATACCCGAATGCTATGCATGCAGGGAGAAGGGAATTAAAGTTGAGGTATCAGAGAAAATTCAGTAAGGCTTTAAAACATTATACAAGTTCATCAAACTAAGTTTTAATATCAGTGGACATAGTATATTACAAAAAAAATGAGCAAAAAACAAGTGGAAAGGCCCATGTAAGGTTATAGGTAATGGAAAAAGTAACTTTATAGCATGGGAACAAAACCATTACTGTGCATTAACTGGCACTGATTGCAGACTTAAATCTGAACAAGTCACAGAAACAGATGAGACACCATGTACTGGGGGCATGTGTGTGTTGGACAACTGTAAGGACCAGATTGTGACAAGTGAAGAGCTGACGGAACATGGAAAGAAGTGATACTGAAATGCAGGACAAGACTATTTGCCCCCGACGACAAAAACTAAAAGTTAGCACCAAAATAACATACATGTCAGAAGGAGGCTAATAAATAGAGGAATGTCACCACCAAGGAGAAAGCAGCAAATACAGGCATTGGGTAAATGTGCATATTTCGGGACAGGGAGCAAAATCTATGGATTGATAAATGGGTACCTAGTGTCACCAATTCGCTTGAAGATCTCACTCGAGTCTGCCTCAATCATGTTTTGAGGCAGTGCTTTCAGATCCAAGCCACTCACCGTGTTAAAAAGCTTTTCCCCATGTCACCGTTGCTTCTTTTGTCAATCACCTTAAAACAGGTTCTCAATGCTTCAGTCAATGGAACCAGTTTCTCTCTAATCTGTCCAAAGCACTCACTACTTTGAGACTTCGATCTAATACTCTCTTCTCCAAAAAGCGTAGCCTCAGCTTCTGCAATGTAGCTAGCTAAATTAAGTTTTCATCCTTAACCATTCACAAAAATCTTTTCTGCATTCCCTCTCATCTTCAACATCCTAAACGCTAGCACACATTGTTCTAATTAACTCCCTGCCCACATTAAAAATTAACTGATGTTAAAAACTGTTAAAACATTAAGTGTACAGGTTTGACTAAATTGCATTGCATTTCAAATTCTACAGCTTGCCCATCACCAAGACTATTACCTCCGCCTCCATTAAAATCACAAAGTTTCCATCCTTACCATTACCATTAGCACTATTAAAACTCTCAAACATCCTTGTTATTTCTAAACATCAGCATCTCTAGCATCATCATTATTGGCCTCTCATTCTCCACTGATACTAATGTTCAAAACAGCCTGTCAGAACTTCAACTGCATCAAATTCAAACACTCTTATCCCTGATGACTACACTGTGCTCAAATGCAACGTAACTAAAATTTCCCTGCTTGGCTCTCCCCTACCCCCATCTCGTTAACTTCCTACAGCTCAACATTCCCTCCCACTGGTCTTTTTGTAAATTCTCCCCCTTCCCCACTTTCATCCACCTATCAATGCTAACAAGTCCCTTCCAAGCCCTTCTGCCTCTGCACCAATAAAAATAACTGTCTCAAAACCTATCTTCACAGCAGAGTTTTCAACTCGCTTTCGGACTTTACATGACAGCCCAGTGTCTATTCCTTCACTTAATTGGTTTCATTGGAGAAAAAGTAAGGGTTTCTATTATCTTTAAAGGCATTATGAATGCCTGTTGTTATTTTGTCATCAGCACCATGGAGCAGAATTAATTGGTTTCTTTCCTCCCCGCTCCAGTCAGAAATTATTTCCATTTTATAAAGTAAGTTTCACTTTTAAAAAAAAAAATCAAATTGTAGTAAAATGAAATCAGTCAAAAGACAATGATTGGATCACAACTGATGATTTAATATCAAATTTTATTCTTGTCCATTTAATTACTCATGCCAAGATAGAATCCATTTGTTTCAGAGATAGTAGGAACTGCAGATGCTGGAGAATCTGAGATAACAAGGTATAGAACTGGATGAACACAGCAGGCCAAGCAGCATCAGAGGAGCAGGAAGGCTGACGTTTCCAGCCTAGACCCTTCTTCAGATTTTCTGAAGAACAGTCTAGGCCCGAAACGTCAGCTTTCCTGCTCCTCTGATGCTGCTTGGCCTGCTGTGTTCATCCAGTTCTACACCTTGTTATCTCATTATCATAGAATCCATTTACACAGTTAATGTACAAAATCTGTTGTAAAAGTTCATCTGCAAAGGATTATTATCCTGCATTGATTTCCCACGTGCACAGCAACAGAACCAGTGCTGATTTATGCTTCGGTTAGGAACAACAGGTTAGTAACTTGGTCCATTGATACTCTGCACTTCAATTATTATGGCTTGTAAGTGAGACACACTACACAATACTGAACCATATGACAACCACAGTTATGACTGCTAGCCATGCTGAATTAGTGGCAGAAGCATTGGTTTCAGCTTTTCCAGTCTTAGGAATATTTCCTTTTTGTTTTAATTTTTTCACTGGATGTGAGCATTGCTGGTGAGGTCAGCATTTGTTGCCCACCCAAATGATCTTCAGAGCATGATGGTGAACTACTTTCTTGAGCTACTGCAGTCCCTGGGCTTGTGAGGTGTGGTGACAAGTGGAGCTGGGGCAGGTCAGGATGTATGGCTTGGAGGGGATCTTGCAGGTGATAGTCGCACATTTAGAAGGTGCTATGAAAAGAGTGCTGGTGAGTTACAGAAATGCATCTGCTGCATTGGTAGTAAAAGGAATGAATGGTGAAGTTATGAAATGGAGTGCCAATTAAGGAAGCTGCTTTATCCTGGATGATGTTAAATTTCTTCAATGTTATTGCAGTCACACTTATCAAGGCAAGTGGAGAGCATTTTATCATACTCCTGACTAGTGCCTGATGATAGACAAGTATTGGGGAGTTTGGGGTTGAGTTGCTTGTTGCAGAATTCCTAGCTTCCGATCTGCCTTGTTGCCATAGTATTTGGAGTTGGTTGGTTCTCAGGGCTGACTGGTTTTCATGCAAACATTTCATCCTCCTTCTAGGGAGCATCTTCAGTGCTGTCTGGCGTCCACTGAAGCACTGTTGCTGTGTTCCATTCTTAATTTATATGGTCCGGTCTGTCATGGTGGGTAGTTGTGTTTCTAGTTTTGCTCTGTAGTGGTATGTAGATGGGGTCTATCTCAACATGTTTGTTTATGGTACCAGTGGTTGAAAACCAGGCTTCCAGGAATTCTCATGCTTGTCATTGTTTTGCTTGTTCTAGTACTGTTACATTGTCCCAGTTAAACTGAATTCTTTCTTTGTCGGAGTGAACAGAAACGAGGGATAGTTGGTGGTACCGTTTCACTGCAAGTTAGTGTTTGTGTATCCTGGTGGTGAGTTTCCTGCTCGTCTGTCCTATGTATTGCTTCTCACAGTTGCTGCATGGTATTTTGTATATCACATCTGTCCTGCTCATTGTGGGTATGGAGTCATTCGTCTTTGAGTAGCTGGCGAAGTGCAGCTGTTGGTTTGTGTGCTATCATTATTCCAAGAGGTCGTAGGAGTCTTGTAGTCAGTTCTGATATGTTTCTAATATATGGGGCTCCAACACACTGGCCCAATATTACCTACCATGACAGATCGGACCATATAAATTCAGAACAGAACAGAACAACAGCACTTCAATGGAGGCCAGACACCACCTAGAAGGGGGATGAAACGTTTACACGAAAACCAGTCAGCTCGGCAAACCAACCAACAACTCCAACCACAACCTGAGCTACAGGTCTTCGCTAAAACATTAAACCTACTGTATTCAAATGACATATCCAGTTCAGTTTCTGGTTGATGGTAACCCAGACACTGTTAATAGTGGGGAATTCAATGATGTTAATGCTATTGTACGTCAAGGACAGACAGTTAGATGTTTGAGATGGTCATTTCCAGCAAGACAGAGCATAAGCGGGGATGGTGAAGGAGATGTCTGGAGTACCCTAATTGTCATACAAGCATCCAAATAATAGTAAAGAAGGGATTTGTCTGTCATTCTCTTTCCTGATGACTGAAGTGACACAGTGTGGTCCAACTGGCTTAATTCTGTTAAACATTGTTCTGATTTGACACAACTGAATGGCTTGCAAGGCGACTTAATTGTGAACCACATTGCTGAGAGTCTGAAGAAGTCACATATGGACCAGAACAATCATGGATGAATGAACCACATGGATTTTTTCAACAATTTACAATAATTTCATGGTTACCATTAGACCATGTTTTTATTCCAGCTTTATTTACTTGAACTCAAATTTCAAAGCTGCAGTAGTGGGATTTGAACCCACATCCTCTGATTACTACTTCAGTGACATTAGCATTACACCATGGCCTCGCTGCTTTTCAAGCATCCAGGCTGGAAATTGAGCACTTGTGGGAGATATAGTGAGGACCACACTAGGCCGCACTGTAATAGTGAATAGGTGATATGCATATTGTCCCATTTGTTCAAGGAAGCCGCAAGTATCCTTAAAGTCACCTTGTGCTAAAAAAGGGAGAAAAGGAAGGCAAAATCCTAGGTTCATGTATCTGCTTAATCCCATACCTGTTTTACTAAATGGAGATAAAAATGCTATTTGTTTTCATGTGAGTGCTGAAACCACACAAACATAAAATGAACACAAATTAGGATCATTTTAACAGAAAGATACTGGTGATAAAAAACTGACTGGTTGACTCTATACAATATTTTAACAACTGATTATCATTAACGATTATATTAAAGATTTACTTTATTTAATAGCAAAGATCAATAAATGTTACACGGACTTAACTTTTAGTTGAATTTAAATTTATATCACTTATAATGCACGTATGTTGCAGAACTCCTGAAAATAAGTTTACAAATCACAACTGAAATTTTTGTATTCTGGAACACCAACTTTGATTTTGACTAAGTGTTATCCGAAGCAGCTGAGAGCCAGAGTGGAGCAGAGTGGACTGGAGGCCTGCAGCACAGCAGGGATAGTTGTTGAACTGGGGACCGGTGCAGCGGTCAGTGGCTTGCAAGCCTAGTCAGACCGTGTGTGGAAGCCCCCTGCACTGATCTACTGCAGTATAATGTTTACCTGTAATCTGTTTTATCTGACTCAAATGTTTATCCTTTGAACTTTATTTCTTATTTTCTAACTTATAAATCGATTTTAGGTAATGTACGGTTTTTTTCTTTATTTTTCTATTTTGTATCTAAGATTTGTACTTAGGTACTTTGTATCTAAGATGGTGCCGTGATGGGCAACACTGTAAATTTTTCAATGTACTCCTGTACTTGAGTACAAGTGACAATAATGCTAATTCTATTTGTTTATAAAACATTCTCACCTGATTTACTGCCATGGGGGAATTATTCTTCACCCACTCCTCTACTATTTTCACCACGGCTCGCAGAATCTTGGCATCGGGGGATTTCTCAATGAGGGAGGTCAAGATGACTTGGATAAAATTCTTCCTCATCTCCATGCTCATTACAGCAAGACGCGTTTTCACAAGCTCTAGACTTAACATGATCAGCTCAACTGTGACTGAAAGAAAGACATTTATTACGCCTTGTCTTAAAACAATTCAGAAAAAAAGCACTGCACGCTCCAAGGTATAACATAATGGTGAGAGACAGCTGGAACTTTGAATTGCAGAGCAGGACCATGGCTGGTGTTTTCAGTATTTTACTCTAAATTCAGAAATTCATAATTCCAGATATTACACTTCACTGAACAAGCAGCATGTACTTTCAAACAATGTAATGTAAACAAGACTTCTATATAGTGCACCATCTAGTGGCATAGATAATGCCCAGGATTAAGGAAATCATGGAAACACGAGAGATTTATGGCACAGAACCTCCTTCATTTTAGTCCACCACGTCCATGATAACGCAAAAAAAGAAATCCAGCCTAATCTTCCCTTTCACTCCCAACTGAGATTAAAATATTAAAAAGATACATTACGTCAAAGCTTTTTTTCTTGAGCTCATTAGGACTGTAATGCCAAGAAATCCATCATTAAAATGGAAACTATTTATAAAGCCTGAGGAAGATGGTACTAACTGATTTGTATTGAGACACTGTGGAAACTGTTAACTGTCTTAGTTAACTGATTCAAATCAAACCAGGCAAGTCAACTGATTGGCCAGGCCAATGGCAGAAGTGCAAGGATTTGCTGCCCTTTCCTCAGTGAAAAAAGCTGCAATGTGTGGACACGTTCCTTTTACCTACAAGAACAGGGTACAGTGTGTGAACAAATCCAGCTTCCTGCATGCACAAATAAATTCTGCTGCAAACACAACCTGATAGATTCTGCCATCAGGTAACATTTACTAGATATTCCTGAAGCCACCAAAAATTACAACGGAAACCAATTTAAGATTTTCAGTTCAGCAATGAATGACTAATGTTGACCTGCTTAGTTTGAATTTAATCAGTAATCTAAAACAGTCATCAGTTTCTACTACATCTCCGTGCCTTTCATAGCCCTACCAATTAGCTTCCGCTTCTCATTCTGTATAAATTGTTGTTTCCGTTCTACTTAGTTGTTATATTTCAATTCTAATGAGTGAAAGACAAAAAGCTTCACCTTCATGTCTCTGGTTAGCAATGGTTAAGTTCTGTACTACCATGCAATTATTTAAAATTAAGTAGTGCAAGTAACTTCTGCAAGAGATTGAGAAAGGAAAGATTTTTAACTATATACCACCTCTCTCCACATTGTAAAGTGGTTCATAGCCATTGAAATACATTTAAAATACACTTGCTGTTGTAATACAGGATCATCTCAAACCAGGCGAATTATAAGTTCCATTTGATATGAAGTCAGGTGCTTTATTATGAACTTTATAAATTTGGTCAAGTCTTTTAATAGTACAAAAGAAGCACTTTTAGTCGAATGTGGACTGTCCCAAGAAAAGTCCTCAGATATTACACGGGTAACCTATATCTTATTCAATGAGGTTCAGTTTTGAAGAGGGTCATAAACAAGGAGAGGGAGTCAAGCAGGCAGCAGGTTTGAGAGAGGAAAATCCTTTAGATGGTTTGAGGCATGGTGACCAATAGTAAGATGAAGAGGTGGACAGATGCATGACAGGCCAGTCAGTGGCATGCAGCGTTCGAGGAAAGGTGGGGCCTTGGATGGCTGAAGGAGGTCACAGGGCTTTACAGCAGTAAAACCATGGCATCCCAGAATCTTGCAAATGGACTATTAAAAAAAATGTCAAAGGTATGAAACAATTCACAGTGGGGTCCTCCTTTGGAGGGATTTAACATGGACAAAAACTGCTGACATTAAACATTACTACAAGGTAACTTTTCATTTTCTTCCAGTTTAGGATTATGTTTATACTTACAGTATAAAATAATGAAGCATAGAAGTAAATTAGAAGTCCAAGTTAAATTGTTTCAACATTTTCATGTTTTTGGCCAAGAAACACAGATTTAGCAGCTAATTATAATTGCTTTTTGGAAGCACAAGGACATGTCAAACATGCCAAGTCAATTATTGAAATTCCTCAATGGGATCATCAACCAGCAGCTTCAGTGGGAAAAGATTTTGTTTGCTTTGATCCACTCACGATTTGAGCCTCACATTAATATACTTCATTACGATGCATTAATTACACACAAAGAAAGAATTCTGAAATATCAACCATTATTTCCACTATTAGCACAATGCAATTTCAAGCATCACGAAACTTTTGTTTTTAAAATCAAAGACATTTCAAAATCTGAAGCTAATTGTTTAAAACAAAATCAGGTGCACGAAATGAAAAACTTTATTTATTAGGATTAAAATTGCACTGGTTAATAAGAATCCTGTATTGCTACACGAATAAATTGAAGATGAATAAAAATTGTTACAAGTCAAGCATTTTTATACTGCCTTTAATGACCACAAAACATTCAAGCAATTAAGCATTTTTTCAAAGTGTAAGTCACTCTAGGTTGTAGATGTAAGAAATAAAGCAGCCAATTCCCAAAAACAGCAATGTGATAATGACTAGATCAGTTACCTTCATGTCGGGGGGGAGGAGGAGGGGTGGACATAGCTAGGACTCCAAAAAGAATTCAAAACAGTGCCATCAGATCTTATGTTCACTTGAGACTGCAAACATAATTTTTCATTCACGTCTGAAAGAGGGCACCCCCAACAGTGCGGCACTCCCTCAGAATTGCACAGGTATGTCAGCTCTGATTTTCAGACTGAAGGACTGTAGTGGGTCTTCAATCCACAAACTTCTGGCTCAAAGATGAGTGTGTGCAACTCACCAAGCCATGGTTAACACACTACCGAAAATCAGAGATCAACCAAGTCCCAGTGCCCTCCCTTGAACTGTGACATAACTGAACAATCAGTGGTTAAACATTTGTCAATCCTAGTCCAGCTCAAATAGATGGGATGATAGACACTTTGTTGGTAACATGTAGCCTCCAGTTAATTGGCCCAAACTCAGTTCTGAGAAAGGGTGCATGACCCAGGGATTAAGATCAGGACCTCAACGAATCATAGATGTTAGAGCCCATTAAAGTGACAGAGAATTTACTGGGAGCAGGCTCTCAACCCAGCTATCTGGGTTTGATATGAACCCTGGAGCACAAGGGTCAAGAATGAAAAAAGATCATTCATCAAGGTTCCGTTGCAAACTATTGAGGTTGCCTGCCTAAGTCAGGGTGTTGTGGCTTCTGGACAAAAGTGACAAGCATGTAGCCTCATTAATCAACCTTACAAAAGCTATTAATTTTCTGTGATTCTAGTTTGCAATATCTAAAACAGAAATTATTGACAATGTCACCTGTAGCCACTAAACATAGCAAATGCCCAAATCCATCATCCACAAATTGCTCTGCAAATATAGGTAAAAAATGATTACACTGCCAGTTTTTGCTGTCCTTGCTCCCTGTGTAGACACCAGGCAAAACACACTGCTCATTTCACAATCCTACCAACTTCACACATTCTAACAAAATTACCCTCTTATAGCAATAATTAAGAATTTACATCATTCCTCTTCCACTTCCTTCTGACAGACTGCAGTTGTAGATCATTATTTGTTTTCTACTGTACAAAAGCACACAAGAGCTATAATTTCTTCGGCCTAGTGCCAAAAAACAATCATGTTGTTTATTGCAATCTTTATTGTCAGAAACAACATACATTACCCCATGATCAATCCTAGAATTCAAATATATTAATAAGTCACAGCTATTTGCCTTTGTAAAGTACAGCAATTAACTGTAGCATCATATTAATTATTGCAGAACAAAGTCTATGACTACAGCAGTACCTTGGCATAAAATAATGTTACAACTTGCATCTTTTTCTCCCCCATCTTATACGCACAAATAAGTAACAAGCCTGACAAATTTAAGGATGCTTTGAAGATGTACCAAGCAGGATAGATAAAGAGGAAGTAGTATATGCAACATATTTGGATTACCAAAAGACTTTTGATAAAATAGTGCACGTTAGACTACTTAAGAGAATAGCCCGTGGTTTTGAAAGCAGTATGTTGGTATAGATAGAGGATTGCTAACTAAGAGAAGACAGTGTTGGAAGAGGGGACATTTTTCAAGTTGGCAACCTATAACTAGTGGAGTGTAACAGGGATCAGTGCTGGGATCACAATTATTCACAATATATCTTAATGATTTGGATGTAGGAAATGAATGTCCTATTGCCAAGTTTGCAGATAACAAAAACAAGTGTGAAGTAGTGAGGAAGACGCAGAGTCTACAGACGCATATAGAAAGATTACATGAATGAACAAAAGCTTGGCAGATGGAACATAATGCTGGTAAATATGAGGATGTACATTTTGGTTGAGTCAGTTGGGCTTGCACTTTGTATTTAGAAAAATGAGAACTGACCTTTTGAAACATGCAAGATTCTAATGGGGCTTCGCAGGGTAGATACCGAAAAGTTGTTTCCATTGTGGGAGACAAGAGGGCATAATATCAGAGTAAGGGGTTGCCCTGCAAGGACAAAGGTGCCAAACCACTTTGCCCAGAGGGTAGTGAATTTGTACAATTCTTTACTGCAGAGGGCTGTAGAGACTGCGTTTTATAGACGGAGAGTGGTGCATATATGGAATGGGCTGCCAGAGAAAGTGGTTGAGGCAGGTACAATAGCAACATTTAAAAAACATTTGGATAGGCACATGGATGGGAAAGGTTTAGAGGGATCTAGACAAAATGCGGGCAATTGGAACTGGCAGACATGGGCATCACGGTCAGCATGGACCAGTTTGGACTGAAGGGCCTTCTGTTTCCATTCTGTATTACTCTATGACTTTAATTGTACACAAGGATGAAATAGTCAGATTTTTAATCAGTAAGGGAATCGTCACTGTCATTGGCAATCACTGACTAACAAGCAAGATTGTCCACTGAAGAAATTCCGTGTCACTGGTCACGGCGTTCTGTGGGTCTTTGCATGACTGATGAGCCCCATCCCACAGCTGCGTTTGTGGCCACACATTTGGCAGGTGTTTTCAGGAGGCGAAATTGGTCCTTGGCCTCGAGATCTCTGGCATTCCTTTCTCCGGTTCCTCTTCTGTACTTCCTCTTGCCAACAGATGTTCTCAAAGAACTGTGCCCCTTCATACAGGAGCATCCTCCAAGTCACTTTCTCTAAACAACGGTCTCCCACGTGTTGCCTTTCTTGAGGGAAGCCTTCTTTGAAATTCTTCCTTTGGAGCTCCTCTCGTTCGAGTCCCTTCCTTGAACAAAGATGATTTACTTTGGCAGTCAAAACTCAGGCATCCTGAGCACATGGCCAGCCCAGCAGAGTTGGTTTCGGATGATCATGGCCTGGATGTTGGTGCTATTGGCTGCTTCAAGGACACCAATGTTAGTACGCCTGCCCTCCCTGCTCAACCAAAGAATCCATCTGAAACCACGTTGATTGTACTTCGAGGGCCTTGACGGGACAACTTTATGTTGACTATATTTCAGAACTATTATCAAGGGTTATTGGGAAAAGACAGGAAAGTTGAGTTGAGGATTATCAGATCAGCCAAGATCTCATTGAATGGGAGAGCAGACTAGACGGGTTAAATAGCATACTTCTTCACCCATGTCTAACAGGCATCTTAAGCAACAGCTCAGGACATGAAATTTAAGGCTGTAAATATTGTTGAAACTTTGGGGCTTGTCACCTGTGAACTGAGGGCATTTTCTTTCAGGGGTTTGGAAAAGGAGGGGAAAAAGACATCTATATGACGTGTTCTGAATGTGTGCCATCAATTATTAGAAAATTAAATTTGCATTTGAAAGCATGTTGAAATTTTCCTATTTTTACAACATTATAGACTGCCTCTGCAATAACAGCAATTTAATTAACATTTATGGCTGATCTATCACTGGAGTTTGCTTCAGGCACATTAATCCTCCAGTAAACATGTCTGAAACTCTTAAATTAAGTTCCTTGTTCCAGAACTGATAAGGCAGCTTAAAGATATTCATCTATCTTTCATCTTTACCAAACATCAACTTACCAATGGCAAATTCATGCCTGCAACACACAACAAGCTGATTCACACCCTTCTTTCATATTTCCCTCCACCACCAAATTCTTCTCTGCCTTGAAAGTCATTGCTTTTGCTAGAGTACAATCTAAAGTGCAATACATCCAAATGTTCATTCTTCATAAAATCAGCTGTGTGTTGGCAAGTTTATTCAGCCAATGGTTGGGGAGCCATTACTACATTTGCAGTCAATCCTGTCCTCGCCAAACATCCACACTACATGCAACAGCAAATGCCTCTGCCGGTTTTATGAACTGAATACTGCCAGGAAGGCAGCAATAAGAGTCATAATGGTTGAATGGTGGAAATGCTTGTCTCAAGTCAGAAGTTGTCAGTTGAAGTCCCATGACCCCCTCATACCAGTACTAAGGGCACTGGTGGAGGGGTCATCTTCTAGATGAGACATTAAACCAAGGATGCACCTGCTCTCAGGTGGGTGCACAAGATCCCATGATACAGTTTCCAAGAAAACAGGGGACGTCCTGGCCAATATTTGAATCAGTCAACCTCCTTAGGCCCCACATTCCTAGTGCTGACCCTTCAGCATTCAGACACCAGATTATTTTTAATCTTCCAGCTACACAACCAGTGACTGTTCCATCAGTCATTGTTCCTACTACCGCCATCAGCATCTTCATCACTTCTAAATCTTTTTAAGACACTCCCAGACTAATTGTGTCTTGAATCTAATCCTTTCCAGTTTACCACCACTTGCCCAGTTCCCTGTCCACTTTCTATCTACCATCCATTTGCTGAAGTGCCCCAAAACATTTCTGTATATAATGAGCGTTTAAGCAAAATGAAGGTTGTTTCAGGAACTCAGAGGCAATAAACACACCAGCTAGTTATTACAACAGAGACATCCCCTCAACACTAAGACGATAGGATATAGGAGCAGAATTAGGCCATTCAGCCCATTGAGTCTGATCCACTATTCAATCATGGCTGATATGTTTCTCAACCTCATTCTCCTGCCTTCCCCCCTTAACCCTTGATCTCCCTACTAATCAAGAAACTATTTTTCTTAAAAACATTCATTGACTTGGTTTCCACAGCCTTCTGCGGCAATGAATTCCACAGATTCACCACCCTGTGGCTGAAGAAATTTCTCCTCATCTCAGTTCTAAAAAGGTTTGTCCCTTCGCTCTGAGGCTGTGCCCTCAGGTGCTAATCTCTCCTACTCGTGGAAACATCTTCACTGTGACCATTCTATTCAGGCCTCTCTGTACTCTGGAAGTTTCAATGAGATCCCTCCAAAAATATAAAGGCATGAACTCAAATTATGTAAATATGTAAAGATGCTGGTTGAAATCTAATTTGTATCCTGCAGACCAATATTGAACATTTCCAAATAATTCTAAAGCAGTACCTCGATTTACAGCGGTTTTCATTTGTAATGTATACTTTGTTCACAAAGCAAAGTATTATATATTTATATAATGAGCTCCATTTTTCCAAAATCTTCATACCAAAGTACAGAAATTGCATTGGCCGACAGATGAAATTGAACTGCTGGGAAAGGCAGTACACCACTGCCTCCTTGGAAGATGAATCATATTTTCCCCCATTGATTGGAGCAATACATTTAGCTTTATTTTAACGGCAGTACAATAAAATTACTTTCAGACTCCCTTTCCAACCTCACTGGGTGAAACAATATTAAAAGCAATGTCATTACCTGTATTGGTTTCAGATGGCCCTGGGGTTGTCTGTGGGTTCAGATGGTCTCTCACCATCTTCTGCAGTGATCGCATGAAGACAGAAATGAGCCGGTCAATGTAGCTGGGGTTGTTGCTGCAAGCAGACTTCAGGATCATCAGGGTGCCTGAAGTTCAAAAAGACAGTGATGTAAGGTTAGAATCAAGAAAGCTATGCAAAACTTTTATGAAACACTGGTTAGGTTTCAACTGCAGTAGTGCGTTCAATTCAGTTTGGATGTCCAGGTCATTTTAAAAAAAAGGTACAGAAGAGACATAACAAGATGGTGCTAGGAGTAGCAAACTTCAAACTGCAGAAGTTGGGATCATTTTCCTTACAGCAGAAATGGTTAAGAGACATTTTTGTTAGAGTCAGTAGAGAGATAACTTTTCAGTCAGTGAAAACTGTATTAACCAGAGTGCTTTGGTTTCAGGTAACTCGCAAAAAAGCCAATGGGGAAGTAAAAGACAATTTTAAAAAATGTAGCGAGTTATTATTTGAAATGCACTGCCTGAAAAAAAGAGAATCAGTGGAAGCAGATTTAATGGTAAGTTGCAAAAAGAATTGGATAATTATCAAAGGGAGAATCTGCAGAGCAAGGGGTAAAGAGCAGAAGCTGTGGGACTAATTGGGTAGCTCTTTGAGAATTTTACAGTGAATAATCATGATCCAGAAAATGCTACCTTGAAAACACTGAATTTACTTACTTACTAACTTTCAACAGGAAATTGGGTAAATACTTTATGAGGAAAAATCTGCAGAGCTACAGAAAAAGAACAGCAGTGGAAGACTAATCAGATAGCTCTTGAATACATTCTTGCACTGCACTATTCTAAAAATCTTTCAACAGTTAAGTAAGCAATCCACACTTCTTCAACATGTACCAAAAACACAAGCTATAAGTCTGCAGTTTCAATAAAAATTTAAGTCACATCTTTTTGCTTTCCATTACTTTATACTAGTATGACTGCCCAATCTTAACAATAAATGCAATGCTCCAGGAAATGACTTCTTAATTATACAATACTTTACAGCTAGTCTTGAATAACACACTATCCGATTTCTCATTAGGCTCAGAATTGAGCCAGAAGATCTTACACAGCCCTTCATCCCACTTTTAAATGTCTCAAAAACATTGCATGAATATAAAGCGATTTCAATTTAATGACTGCTCTCCTGGGGACAGATAGGATTGAAATGAACGGTGTATCTTTTGTTTGGAGGGATGTTGGCCAGGATACTGAGAGAGTTTTCTGTTCTTCTTACTAACACAGGAACAATAGCAAGCTATTCAGGCCTTTAAGCCATTCTGCCATTTATGGAGATTATGGCTGATCTGTGGCCTAACTCCGTATGCCTGTCTTTGGCCCATGTCCCTTAATAACTGTGCTTAACAAAAAATCTCAGATTTAAAACTAACAATAGATCTACCATCCAGTGCTGTTTGTGACACAGAGTTCAAAACAGCCTTTGCATGCAGAAGTGCTTCCTAACCTCTCTCCTCAATGCTCTGGCCCTAATTCTCAGACTATGCCCCCTAGGTTCAAGGATCCCCAACCAGTGAAAATAGTTTAGCTTTATCTACCCTGTCTTTTCATGTTAACATACCTTGAAGACTTCCATCAGATCATCCTCTAAGCTTGTAAATACGAGAGAAAATAAGGCCTCTCTCATAACATAACTTAACAGGTGGACTGCAGCAGTTCAAGAAGGCAGCTCACCACTTCCTTCTCAAGGGCAACTAGGAACGGGCAATAAATGCTAGCCAGCCAGTGATGCCCACGTCCTACAAATGAATTAAAAAACACCCTTAAAGTCCAGTTCTTCATATAATGGGATAGGATTGTTAGCTCACCAGCAGTGGATGGTTTTGGATGAGCCAACACTGCACAGTGCAGGAATTGAATATTTTGATATTTTTATTACTCTGCCTTCAGAGAATGTGCTGGTGCACAAGTTATGATACTCAACCAACATCCGAGGTCAAATGCTCAAATATTGAATTTAACATGGGAAAGAAATAGCCTCTAAAGCTATTGATTAGCATAAAAACTCTCATGGCCTAACAGTGATCTTCAGTGAAGGGAACCTAACACCCCAATACCCTCTCTCTCTCGGACCCTGTTTGATACTGCTTGATTGATTCAGAGCGACAGAGTTTCCCAGAGTGACTCAAGATGCACAATAAATTTATCCTTGCCATATCCAGAGAACAAAAAGCTTCATAGTGCATTCTTGCTCTATTTTATTTTCATCAGTTGTACACAATGTCAAAAGATGATCAAGTTTGATGTAGAGATGAAGCACAAAACAAACACTTTAAACTTAAAAAGCTTTTTGTGTTAAACACTCAAATGCTGTTGCCTCTCAACAGAAAGTCCTAAATGCTCTGTGAAACTCTAGGTTAAAATTGAATTGATCAGGCGTTAACTTTTACAGGTTAGCGGTCAGCGCATGTATCATAACTAGCATATGCTTGGGTTCCAAATGTCTCAGACGTTTGGACACTGCAGGCTGTGTTAAATGTTGTATTTGGATTTGACAAGCTCACAACTAGCAGACTGCCAATTCTTAAACTAAAATTACATCGGCTGGTTCTCATCATCGAGTTGAGTGGTGAAGGACATTTGCCATTTAGAGGAGAATGCATTGTGACCTGTTGAATCATTTCACAACTGCTTTACTGACAGAGCTAATTCAATGCCAGATTGCAAGGGCTCTACCAACTCAGTGTAACAACAATATTTTACAGTGCTGGTTAGACATATACTGAATAACACACAAGCTTTACAAGCAGATCAGGTACTGTTACATTTACAGTTTTATAACAGACAGGTTCAATCAAATCAAGCACCAAAACCTGGGTGAAGTTTAAAAGCTTTATATTTCGATAAATTGTGACATTATGATTCCTTATTGAATAAATTGAAAACAAAGTAATCCACTGGAAAAACACAAGAAAAGAACAAAGAATTGGGCAAGAGGAGAAAGAATTTTACAAAAAAAGTGGAGAATATTTTTAGAAAAAGTTAAAAACCTTTAAGTAAAGCAACAGACCGGGACAAATGGAAATTGTAGCATTCAAGAAAAAGAATGACAGAAATGACCAGTGGAAGTTAGCCAAAAGAAAACCGAAAAGGATCTGAATGTGTTCATTTAACAGATAATGGCTGAACAGCGATACACAGCGATAGCAGACTGGAGGAATGCTCTTGGTTATGACACATTCTTGCAGCATTCCTGCAGCTCTATTGATTTATAGCTCTTATGGCATTGGAACACAATTACAATTTGATCTGAAGTTCAAAATGATGTCTTATTCCAATTGTATTAACAAAATCTTAAAAGTAGAATGCAATGCTCAGTCTAGTACAGGGCTATGCACTGCCAGAAGCAATTCTTTAAATGTCCTCAAGCTCAAGGCAGTACAAAGCAAATGGATTTCCTAATAAATAGCAAATCTGACAGTACACATATTGAGATCACCACAAAAGTCAAGCAAAGCTGAAAAACAAAAATGTTGGAAAATCAGAACACATTGGTTAGCTTTCTAACCAAATACTCTAGTGGAAAATTTCCTCATCAGAATTACTCTTTTTTTTTCAGCATTTTGTTATTAGCTTTGTTCAACTCTACGTTGTCACAAAACCAACAAAAAGCTTTTCAGGTCCCAATTTGAACTCAATCTCATTACACACAAACCTTACTCTTTACATGCACACTTCGTTCTGTTGGAAGTATACAAGAATCTTTCAGCTAAATGCAATGTACAGCATCTTGAGTATAGCATTGTTTCAGCACCTGTCAGGTCCCACAGCCAATCAGATTTCAAAATCGGCCAATGTACAACCTCCGTCTTGCGAACCTAATAGATCAATTTGGCACATAGGTCAATGTCTCAAGTCAAGATTATACAACCGCTGCCTGTTTGCTGTCTCAATTTGATGGTAAAATGACAATCTGTAGGACACAACTTCTGTCAAGTGTCTAGTAAGCTTTTGACTTAGGAAAAGGTGGAAGCCATTTAGCCCCTCAAACTGGTTTCATTCCTCAATGGGGTTGACACTATTCTGCAACCTAATCTGATGCAGGCTTTTGACCCATAGCCTTGTGATATTTACTACCACTGCCAGCATATAGGACTAAGCTACACAGTCTTGTGAGGCACTGGTAATTTCTCTATGTCTGGTCAGAAGATTTGAGTTCAGGTGTCGTAATATTACCAACAGTTTGATTAAAATAATTATAGTATGGGCTCATGATGGTTCACTGCCACCACTCCTCCTTTGTCTACATCATGTAGAAAGTCTATCTAATAATCAGTGGTAGAGGACAGAACTCTGGCACATCTGAAACAGAAGAAGCACTTGTCTTGAATCAACAAAGATTTTATTTTTATTCATTCAGGGAATGTGAACATCACCAGCCAGGTGAGCGTTTATTGCCCACCTCCAGTTGCCCTTGAGAAGGCAGTTGTGACCTGCCATGTTGAGCAGCTGCAGTCGATTTTATGTAGGTAGATCCACAATGGCACTCGAAGTTTCAGGATTTTGACCCAGTGACAGTGAAGGAATGGCAATACATTTCCAAGTCAAGATGCTAAGTGGCTCGGAGGGGAACTTGCAGGCTGCCACCCTTGTCCTTCTGGATGAAAGCAGTCACAGGTACTGAAGGTGCTGTCTGAAGAGCCTTGGGCCTTTATTTATTACATGACATGCACAAGTTACTCATCAGGCATAATTAGTAAGGAATTTTAGGAGCTGTACAGAATATCACCTGCTGAGTATGAAGGCTAGTGCAGAACTGCTTCAACCCAAAGACTGTGACATCATCATATTTGGTGGAGCTATTACAATTTTGACATTAATTCTTTCAGAATCTTATACAACAATCCCATCGAAACTTTGGTTAACCAGAAAAAAATCCAAGCATTAAATTTAATAATTTATCTAGCATCAATTGTCATTTATGGAAGGGATTTACAAACTTCTCTGGTCCTGTGTTTATGATATTTTAACTATTTATGTACCTCGGTCCATCAGTCATTTTGGATCTCCATAGTTTCTAACTTTTCACCATTTAGAAAACATTCTGATCTATCTTTCTTGAATTCCAAGTTAACGGCTTTACATTTTCCTTGATCAAAATGTATTTGCCACAGTTTTGTCCATTCGCTTAATCTAGCGAGATCTACTTGTAGTGTTACATTTACAAAAGTTACGGTTACAAAAATTGCACTCATCCACTTGTGTAACCTACATGGTTCTGTCGGAAAGACGCTCATTAAATGGGAATGTAGAGTGTGCATGGCTCTCAGAACTTTGTTGCCACAGGTCATGCATGCTGCTATTCCTCGTTGCAAAGGTTTGAAGCTGCTAAAAATAGCAGAGGACTACAGCACGGTTACCAGAAAGCTCAATACACTGATGACAATGCACACTAATTTTTATACAAGGTTTCATGTTGGGAAAGGCCCCAAGAACACAGGAATGTCATCTGGAAAGGCCATTATGTTGCTCAAGCATGCTACACCACTCATTTTGATCATGGCTCGTCTACTACTTCAACTCAACTTTCCTACCTGTTCCCTATATTCCTCAGTTCCCTGAGAGATCAAAAATCTGTCTTAGCCTTGAATATATTCAACAATGAGATGTTAACCACCAACCCTTTCCCCCACTCTATGTTAGAGAACTCTAAAGATTCACAATCCTTTGAATTAATAGATTTCTTTACACCTCAGTCTTAAATGATTGACTTCTTCTCCAACCAGGGGAAAACAGCCTATCAATCCTCTGCAGAAACTTTAATTTTTCAATAAGATTGTATCTCACTCCCCTCAACTCCAAAAAGACTATAGGCTCAAATCCTTCAGCCTGTCATTCGAGTTGAATTCTTGAAGCAACTTACCAAACAATTGATTTGGATTGGTATTTGCTGCTTTCTCATAATTTGTGAGGCCTTCATAAATCACTTTTCCCACTGCAGCATAAAGACACTCCAATTCCTCATATTTGGAAGCCACACTTGAAGTACCTGTTTAAAAGGGAAGTGCACAATATTGACAATAAAGTAGTATTAGATATTTTTAAAAATAACTGCACTTCTCCACTTGTGCAACCTACTTGGTTCTGTTGGAAAGACGCTCATTAACCGGGAAAGCAGAGTGTGCACAGCTCTCAGAACTTTGTTGTTGCCGCAGGTCATGCATGCTGCTATTCCTCGTTGCAATGGCTTGAAGCTGCTAAGAATGGCAGAGGACTGGAGCACGGTTAACAGAAAGCTCAATACCTCTAATCCTGTACAGATATTCGCCATGTTGGCTTGATTGGGTTGCTCCTAAAATCAACAAAAAGTCGGGATACAGACTTGAAAACAGAACATTCAATATGCACATGGATCATTTTGCTACCAGTTACACTCAGGCTACAGAATTCACGTCAGTCAATGCACCTTTTACTTCCCTGGACAAAGTTACAAGATTAGCTTTGATTTTGTCTATCACCTACTAATTATCATCAGTCCGATCACACCCTTACCATTATAAAATGGAATTAATAGGATGTGAAAGGTCAAAAAGACAAATGCTAATTTGCCCAGTCCTTGATGCTTGAAATGCTGCTGTAATAGACAATAAATTTTCCCTACAGCAAATAGCAAGATAATTGTGAAGTAAAGCACAGAACTGGGTTCTTCAGCAATGCTAATTAAATTATCAAATAATTCTGGATATCGGCTCCCTTGTGCTTTCTAAATAGATTTCTTCTATATTGTTTTAAAAATTATGTAATGTACTTATTTGAATGTCAATTATATGGCACCAAACACCCAGCAAGATTAAAGCCTTTCTTATCTTGGTTACGCTCAAGTACTGCACAAAAAGTGCATTTTTTCCCTGCACTGAGTAACATACCTCTCAATTGCTGCAATCATTCAAGCAGGACAACACTGAATTTCAAACTGGATTCAAATTATTTTGAAAAATCATTGTATGTCACTTTTACTTTCATGCTCGAATTCAGAAAGGCTGCATCATAAGGGTAACTTTGGGATTTTAAAAATTACAATAAATTCAGAGGTAATATTCCTGTTGGAATCTTGCATTCCTTAGTAAAATGTGAATACCCAACACTGCGCACTGAGATGACTTAAGACTTGTTCCACAGGATCTAACAGTATCTCACATCTGGGATTGCATAATATCACAGAAAACACTACTTAAATTATGAATCTTGGTTGATCTTCAGGGTTCTTGCCTGTCATACTGGTGTATGTCTGAATATTTCAGTTTAGTCAGTTTAATGGACAGTTTAAAATTTTGACCTGATTGACTAACTTACAGCACGGAGGTAAGTGTTTTTCTAAAAGGGAAATACAACTAATATCATAGAAAGGTTATAACAGAGGTGGTGTTTCAGTCTACTTCAAACATACAAACAAGAACAGGCACCACTTCACAGGAGCATGGCTTGTCTGTTTGTAACTTCAAAACCACATTCTCATCTATCACTGACAACCTTTTGAAAACTGATTGTTTTTAAGGCAGAGGTGGAAACATGATCAGACTTTGCTTCTACTGGCTTTCCAGAAAGAGAATTCCAAAAGCTCATGACCCGGAAAAATATCACATCTGTTTTAAATAGGTGACCCTTGATTCTCCCACGTTTTCCACTTCTACCCTGTCAAGACCGTCAAGGTCTTACGTTTCAATCAAGTCACCTCTTAGACATCTAAAACCCAGTGGACTTTCCTCCTAAGACAACCTGCTCATTCCTGGCAGTAACGTAGTAAACGTCTCTAAACTGCTTTCAATGTGTTAACGTTCTTCCTGAAGTAAGGTGAACAGTATTGCAACACAGTACTCCAGATGCAGTCTCACCAACGTCCTATTTAACTGAAACATAAACTCCCCACTTTTGCATTCAATTCTGTTCACAATAAATTGTAACATTCTAGTAGCTTTCCTAATTACTTGCTGTATCATACTAGCCTTTTGTGACTCATGCACGAGGGCACAGATGATTGCATTTCAGAGCTCTGCAATCTCTCACTATTTATGTGATATGCTTCTTTGTTCTTCTTGCCAAAATGGACAATTTCACATTTTACCACATTGTACTCAATTTACCAGATCTCTGCCCATTCACTTAACCTATCTTTTTGTCACCTCCTATTTCATATTCACAACCTATTTACCTACCATTCTGTGTCATCAGCAAATGTGGCAACCACATAACCAAGACATTTATGTTACATTTATCTACCTTTTTCATTTATTCATGGAATGTGGGTGCCGCAGGATGGACAAGCATTTATTTTCCTATGATAGTAGGAACTGCAGATGCTGGAGAATCTGAGACAACAAGGTGTAGAGCTGGATGAACACAGCAGGCCAAGCAGCATGGAAGAGGAGCAGGAAGGCTGACATTTCGGGCCTAGACCATTCTTCAGAAATGGGGGAGGGGAAGGGGGTTCTGAAATAAATAGGGAGAGAGGGGGAGGTGGACAGAAGATGGATAGAGGAGAAGATAGGTGGAGAGGAGACAGACAGGTCAAAGAGGCGGGGATGGAGCCAGTAAAGGTGAGTGTAGGTGGGGAGTTAGGGAGGAGATAGGTCAGTCCAGGGAGGACGGACAGGTCAAGGGGGTGGGATGAGGTTAATAGGTAGGAGATGAGGGTGGGGCTTGAGGTGGGAGGAGGGGATAGGTGGGAGAAGGACAGGTTAGGGAGGCGGGGACGAGCTGGGCTGGTTTTGGGATGCGGTAGGGGGAGGGGAGATTTTGAAGCTTGTGAAGGCCACATTGACACCATTGGGCTGCAGGGTTCCCATGCAGAATACGAGTTGCTGTTGCTGTTCCTGCAATCTTCGGGTGGCATCGTTGTGGCACTGCAGGAGGCCCAGGATGGACATGTCGTCTGAGGAATGGGAGGGAGAGTTGAAATGGTTCGCGACTGGGAGGTGCGGTTGTTTAGTGCGAACCAAGCGTAGGTGTTCTGCAAAGCGGTCCCCAAGCCTCCGCTTAGTTTCCCTGATGTAAAGGAGGCCACAATGGGAACAGCGGATGCAGTATACCACATTAACAGATGTGCAGGTGAACATCTGCTTGATGTGGAAAGTCTTTTTGGGGCCTGGGATGGGAGTGAGGGGGGAGGTGTAGGGGCAGGTGTAGCACTTCCTGCAGTTGCAGGGAAAAGTGCCGGGTGTGGTGGGACTGGAGGGGAGTGTGGAGCGGAGAAAGGAGTCTCGGAGAGAGTGGTCCCTCCGGAAAGCAGATAAGGATGGGGAGGGAAAAATGTCTTTGGTGGTGGGGTCGGATTGCAGATGGCGGAAGTGTCGGAGGATGATGCATTGGATCCGGAGGTTGGTGGGGTGGTACGCGAGGACGAGGGGGATTCTGTTTTGGTTGTTATTGCGGGGAGGGGGTGAGAGGGATGAGTTGTGGGAAATGCGGGAGACACGGTCAAGGGCGTTCTCGACCACTGAAGGGGGGGGGGGGGAATTTGCAGTCCTTGAAAAACGAGGACATCTGAGATGTACGGGAGTGGAATGCCTCATCCTGGGAGCAGATGCGGCGGAGGCGAAGGAATTGGGAATAGGGGATGGCATTTTTGCAGGAAGGTGGGTGGAAGGAGGTGTATTCTAGGTAGCTGTGGGTGTCGGTGGGCTTGAAATGGATATCAGTTTCTAGGTGGTTGCCAGAGATGGAAACAGAGGTGTCCAGGAAGGAGAGGGAGGTATTACAAATGGTCCAGGTGAACTTAAGGTTGGGGTGGAAGGTGTTGGTGAAGCGGATGAACTGTTTGAGCTCCTTGTGGGAGCACGAGGCAGCACCGAGGGACAAGGGACTTCACAAGCTTCAAAATTTCCCCTCCCCCTACCGCATCCCAAAACCAGCCCAGCTCGTCGCCGCCTCCCTAACCTGTCCTTCCTTCCACCTATCCCCTCCTCCCACCTCAAGCCCCACCCTCATCTCCTACCTACTAACCTCATCCCACCCCCTTGACCTGTCCGTCCTCCCTGGACTGACCTATCTCCTCCCTCACTCCCCACCTAAACTCACCTTTACTGGCTCCATCCCCGCCTCTTTGACCTGTCTGTCTCCTCTCTACTTATCTTCTCCTCTATCCATCTTCTGTCCGCCTCCCCTTCTCTCCCTATTTATTTCAGAACCCCCTTCCCCTCCCCCATTTCTGAAGAAGGGTCTAGGCCCGAAACGTCAGCCTTCCTGCTCCTCTTCCATGCTGCTTGGCCTGCTGTGTTCATCCAGCTCTACACCTTGTTATCTCATTTATTTTCCTATCCCTAGTTGCCCCTGAGAAGGTGGTGTGAGCGGCTTTCTTGAACTGCTGCAGTCCATGTAATCAGACTAACAATGTCCTCAGGGAAAGAGTTCCAGAATTTTCATCCAGTGACAGTGAAGGAACAGTGACATTTTTTCCAAGTCAGGATGGTGTGTGACTTGGAGGGGCATTTGCAGATCATGGCATTACCAAGTATCAGCTGCTCTTGTACTTTTTGATGTAGTTTCTGTGGGTTTGGACAGTGCTGTCTAAGGAGCATTAGTGAATTTATGCATTTGTATCTTGTAGATGGTGCACATGACTGCAATAGAGCATCAGTGGTGGGGTGAGTGAATGTTTGTGTATGTGGTGCTGATCAAGAGGGCTTTGTCCTATATGCTAGCTGCTTGAATATTGTTGGAGCTGCACTCATCCAGGCAAGTGGGAAGAATTTCATCACATTCCTGACTTGTGTCTTATAGATGGACAGGTTTTGGGGAGTCAGGAGATCATTACTTGCTGCAAGTTTCCTAGACTCTGACCAGCCTATACATAAAAATATGTTTATATAAGCAGTTGAGGGCCCAACACTAATCCTTGTGGCAAATGTCAGGAACACATATTGGCAGATTATGAGAATTGGAAAAATAAACATTAGGGCAATTACTAGGTTGCAAAAGATTTACAAAGTGACTTTACGCAATCTCTTTGTTTTGCTTTATTAGTTACCCATAAGACATTTATATTTTTGATACAGCTCAAGAAGTAGTGAGTCTTAATTTCCACTGCACTCCTTTTGTAAGTACCTTGACACACTCATCGATACACTCTGCCAACCTTAAAAAGACACATTTGTACTCACTCACTGCTTCAGGTAAGCCAGATAGTCTTTTCTCCATGCTATTATGCTACTCCCTACATCATCACTTTTCCATAAGCGCATTTGATATGTCATTTTAGCAAATGTCTTCCGGAAATCCAAGTATTGTATATCCACCAGTTCCTGCTTATGCACAGCATATTACTATCTCTAAGGACTCAAAGCGAATGGTTAAAGTTAATTTTATTTTCACAAAACCATGTTCATTATGCTTAATTACCTTGAACTTAACTAGGTTCCCTGCTATACCTTCTAACATTTCCCCTATGACATAAGCTAACTGGCCAACTTTGTCTCCTGCCCTTTTTGAATAAAGAGTTACATTTGTTACCTTTCAGTCTAATGGTAAAACTAGAACTAAGGCATCGACTCTCTCACTAAATACTTTTAAGATCGATGGCTGGAGTCCATCAGGATCCAGGCACTTGTCAGACCACAGCTCCAACAATTAGCTCAGTACTGCTGCCCTCGTGATTGTAATTGTCCTCAATTCCTCCCTCCCTTCCATGTCCTGCTTCTGGGATCTTGTATACTTGGCGGTAAATGCTGATGAAAATATCTCTTGTCACAACTCAAGTGGGAAGAGGATGCTGATATTCATGTTCCACTATTCCTCAAGCCATCACAAAATGGGACCATAAAATGACAAATGCACCCCTTCAAAACCCCAAACATACACAATATCATGTTTAAAACGGAGAAAAGACAAACAATTTAACACATATTATGGACGGAAAACAATTTCAACACAGGAAACAAAATTCCAGACCAAAATGTGCAAACTTATTCTCCTTATAGTTCTTCAGATTTTTGCTATGATGCAATTTTGACTGGAGGATGACATTCATCCTTCGATTTGGTTGTTGATCAAGTGAACTGAAGTCCTTTCTTGTATGAATTCTCTCTTTTAAACTTTCTTGGGTTTTCTGTCTTTTTCTCCCCAAAGTGCTGGAGAGGGAGAGAAGCTTTCTGTTTACAGGCTCTGGGCTTTTTCTCTCCTTTCTCTGTTGCTTTTGGCACTTGAGAATTTTTTAAACACTGAGCTCAACCATCAGAAGACGGCAACCACGCAGAATTTCCTTAACGCGAAAGCTTCTAGATGCCATTCAGTCTCACATCACAGCTTCCAAAAGCTGTATATTCCACAGCTCACCAACGGAACACTTCATTTTCAAGTAACAATACTTCCGAGTATTCCAGTTAGAACAGTTAATTGTCTATTTCACTTTCTAGTTCCAAACAAAAATTGAAAGCATTGTCATGTCTTATACTGTTCAATTCAATCATCTCTTTATTTCCCATTAACCATCCTCTAGGCTCACTTTCTACTGGATCAATGCACACTTTGTCATCCCATTTCTTTTAAAAATATTGATAGAAACTCTTACTGTCAGTTTTTCTAACTTTCTCTCCTGTTCTAACTTTTCCCTCCTCAATTTTTTTTTGGTAATTCTTTGTTTTTTTATCATATATCCTGTCCAGTCTTCTCGTCTGCCATTTGTCTTTGGATAATTCAATTTTTCCTTTAAGTTCAATATTATCTTTAAAATTTCTAGTTAATCACAGATGGTGAATCCAACTTTTGGAGTTTTATTTTATTTGTTTGAATGAATCTGTTCTCTGTATTCTGAAATATTCACTTAAATGTCTGCCACTGCATCTCCGTTGACCTACCCTTGAACATAATTTGCCAATTCACTTCAGTCAGCTCTGCTTTCATGCCCTCATAATAGCCTTTTGGTTTAAGAAAAATAGATTTGGACCTATTCCTCTCACCCTCAAACCAAATGTAAAATTTAATCATATTATGTTCGCTGCTACCTAGCGGCATATTCATGCTGAGATAATTACTTAATTCTAATCTTTTTGCACAACACTAGGTCTAGCACAGCCTACCCTTCGGATGGCTCCAGACCATGCTGTTCTTAGAAACTGTCCTGAAAACATTCTATTAATTCACCTAGGCTACTTTTGTACATCTGACTTTTCCAGTTGCTATATAGATTAAAATCTGCCAGGTATATCGCTGGGCCTTTCTGACAAGCTCCCACTATTTCTTCCTTTACGTCCCACCCCTACCACGTGGTTGACTATTATGGGGCTTGTACACCACTTCCACAAATGATATTTTGTTTTTATCTTTTCTCACCACTACCCAGATTGGTTTCCATTAACTAACAAAGCCACCCCTTCACCTTTTCCTAGCCTTCTGCCCTTCCCAAATATTCCACCCCCTTCAATACTCAGATGAAAATCCATGTCACCTTGTAGCCACGTGTCTGAAATGTCTGACAGATTATTTATTTCTGAGACATTGCTCAGTTCAGCTATTTCATTTCAAATGCTACTTGCATTCAGGTACAGTCTTTAGTTTTATCATTTTTTTGTTTTTGTACCTCTAGCATGATCTCCCGATTTACTTTTCAAGTTGTACCCTCTATTCTTATCAGTGTTTATTATTTTCCATATTAATACATTTCTCTTTTGCCTTTTCTCTACTCTTTGATTTGCCACATATTTCTAATCCCCTGACCTAACTTTTCAGTTTAAAATCTTCTCCATTTCCCTAGTTCTGCAGCTCAGTTCAGTTCAGGTGGAGACTGTCCCATCGTTACACATTCCACTTTCCCAGCACTGATGCCAATATTCCAAGAACCAGATCCCACTTGCCCCACACCAGTCTTTGAACCAAGCATTCATCTCTCTAATTTGATTTGCTCTATGCCAGCTAACACATGGCTCAGTAATAATTCAGATTTTGGTCTTTGTCATTCTGCTCTTAATTTGATGACCACTTCCTCACATAGACATAGGCAGAAAAAAGAAAGAGGTTCTGTATAGTCATTGTTGTCCTCACACACCAGTTGCTGAAAGTAAGCACGCAGGTACAGTAGGCAGTAAAGAAGGCAAACGGTATGTTGGGCTTCATATCAAGAGGATTCAAGGATTTATTGCTGAAATTATACAGGGCATTGGTGAAGCCACACCTGGAATATTATGTGCAGTTTTAGTCTCCTTATCTGAGCATAGATGTTCTTATTATAGTGAAAGTACAGCAAAGGTTTCACAAATTGATTCCTGTATTGGCAGGGCTGCCACATGAGGAGAGATTGAGTCAGTTAGGATTGTATTCACTGGAGATTAGGAGAATGAAGGGGGGAATCTCATAGAAACCTAACAGGACTAGACAGGTTAGATGCAGGAAGCATGTTCCCAATAATGGGGAGTCAAGAATTAAAGGCATAGTTTAAGGATAAGGTGTAAACATTTTGAGATTAAGAGAAAGAGAAAATTTCTTCACCCAGAGAGTGGCAAGCCTGGGATATTCACTACCACAGAAAGTGGTTCAGGCCAAAACATGACGTGTTTTCAAGAAGGTGGTAGATATAGCTCCTATAATGGAAAAGATCAAGGGACAAGGGGAGAGGGTGTGATTAGGGCATTCAGCTTGTTGATCAGCCAAGATCTATGTCAAGCATGATGACTGGATCCTTCCTGTCCTGCTGCAAGTTCCTCTCCAGCCCCAAGCAGATACCCTGAACCCTGGCATTGGCAGTCAACAGAACTGTCTGCACATGCACTCCTTTAAAATGCATCATGACTGTTCCCACTATTCCATTCTTTCTCTAAAGCCCTACAATATTTTTCTTCTCAGACGCTTATCAAATCCCTTTTTGAAAGCCACAATCGAACTTGCCTCCACCAGTTTTCAGGCAGTGCATTTCAAATCATAAATTGAATGCTGCGTTATATGAATAAATCATAATCTTTCTTATGACAATTTCTACCACCTCAGCCCCACAGATTTTGCTGCCCTATACAAACCTGCAGAATAGACTTGGGTTTGCATGGAGGGGAAAAATAAGTCTCTCCACCAGCCCCACAAAAAAAATTCATTGAATCCTTTCGTATTCCTGTTCATTTTTTAAAACCAGTCCAAGTGAAAAGTCAGGAGTAAGAAAGGATTATTTCTCTCATCAACTCTCACACCACACAACCAAAATGATCCTGAATAACCCAAATATTTGAGATGTTATCGTGTTCCTAAAATCTTATTATCTGCACTAAACTTACTTTTCCCTCATTTTCATTTCATTCCTGTCCTTCTAACTGGATGAACTTTGACTAACAAGTGGGTTTACTTTGCATGTAATGTTTAATATGCTTATAGGCATCATCGATTTTCCTTTCAACAATTTGCGACAAAATTTAAGTTCCCTTGGCATCAGACACATGCCTGCATCAGCCTTATCTTCTGAAAGTCTACTCTCATTGCCGTGAGGAGTCAAAGCTGGAAATTTAGTATGCATATGTGCAAATATCAGCCATCCATTAAAAAGGAAGCTGGAACCAGTGAGGCTAAAAGGTACACTGACTAAGCTTGCAAGTAGTGCGTTATAAAGCTCTTTAATATGCCAACTGCTTGAGGAGAAAAAAAAAGCATACCACTGTCATCAGCAACTTGTCAAACCACTGGAGTTTCAGCTCAGCTTTTGGCCACATATCAGGACGAAGAGCCATCTTCAGAAGACTAACGCAGCGTCTGGACAACATCTCACCTGGTGAACCCGCTGTGTTTGAGGAATCATTCACCTGGGGTTCAATTGTCACACATAACTACACAGGCTGTAAAGTAGTAAACTGTCACAATTATAAATCTTTGCTTCATTACTGCATCACATGCGATTTCCATCATATATTTAAGAAGAACCAGGAAGATGAAATATTTATAATTTCTTCAATGCTAAGATTAATCCAAAGTTCTAATTCATATGAGAGTATGGATAAGCATTGAACAGCAGTGATCAACTCAAATGATATTCGGAAATATACTTAAAAATACACTTGAAAATTGGAAGCAAAACAAAAACAGCTGTAAATATACGCGACAACAAACTGTGTTCTTCCCTGGTCTTAGTTATTAGCAATTTTGCCTCAGAGTAGAAAGAAAAAGATTTCTGTGGCTTCAAATCCACTCTTGGGATTTGTACATATAAAATGGAAGACAATACGGGGTGAATAGCATTTTCCAGATAGATGTTAAGCCAAGACATCATGGATCTGTGCCAGTAGGTGTTGAAGGTCTTGTGACTCCATCCACAGAATAACAGAAGTCTCTCAAAAGATCTGATTTCTTAGAACTGTGTTTTGGTTCTTTCCAGGGAAAATTATAATTTTCACTGGAAACTATGAACAAGACAAACTTGGTTCAAAGAGAATAGTCTAACTTATCAAAACGAGTGCTTCACGTTTTCCTCACATCAAAAGGAACAAACAGTCCATTAATGAGCTCAAACACAGCTGGTGTGAACCAAAGGTAGCTTTGAATTCTCTAGATGGCAAGATTCTTTAGTTACTACTGGGCAGACTGAAGTGCACTAAACAAACCACTGCACTCTTGCTGGTCAGGGTAACATTATGTCAAAATTCTGGGTACAAGTTTCACAGAGAGAAACATAATAATGCCTCTTCCATTTGGATGATGTCAACATCATATGGAGGTTGCTCTGACACAATATTAAATCTTGAAATTTAATGTCAGCTTTACTTCCATTTTAGAGCTCAAACAGTACCACAGCTCAAACAACCAGCACCTTAGGTGGATTCTAGTACCAGGGAGGCTTCCTCAATTGCATAATATTCAGAAATGCATAATATGCAGAAAGTGAAGGGATGTGGATGTCCTTGTGCATGATGTTGCGAAGTTGGGTAGAGTATTTGTAGATTGGGAGGCAGGCTGTTAGAATTTGGTGTTTGTAAAATGCCGGTGGAAGAAAGCATTGCGCGGTCCCTTTAAAAGATGGTGCCTTTTTCTATGCTTGGTGATGTCTGTGAGCAGCTCAAAAGTTTGCAAGTACAGAGAGCACCCAAATTGAAACATTTGTATGGAAAGACTGTACCATTACCAGGCCAATTAGCATTTTTACCAGTACAACAGGTTTTTGAATTTAGACAATCAATCTGAACCAGGCACTTAGATACCAAAAACCTATCAAATTTGAATCTGATGGTTTTGACGACCTAGAACCAATCCCATTGTAAGAAATTGATATGTCATCGGGGTATAAAAGAAGAGGGCAGCTGGACAAAGACAAGAGAACTAACTGCCATTTGCCAGAGTTAACAGCTCTTAGCTCTCAACAGAGAATCACTGGCTCTCACAGACTCCTATAAGTCTTAGGGACAGCACCATCTAAATATCAAAGGTACCAATGGTACAACTAGTTAATATTCCTGACAGAAGAATTGATGGAGGCAGCGTTCCTGACAGAACATTCAACAGAGAAGGCACAGAGCATTCCGAAAGACACAATCTGGCTGTAATTTTGAGAGATTAAATTCTATATTTTAAAATTTTATTTAATATAAGTGGAAGTTGTATTTATTAGGAAATAGTTAGAAGGGGTTTATTCAGTTTGTTAATAGATTAGTTAATTTGTGCACTGTTTGTATTGATAAATTGTTACTTGTTGATTGTAAAGCGAGAGTCAGGGGTTTATTTTATTTAGCCACTAGAAATTGCTGAAAGACAGGTTACAACACTTTTCACACTCCTTTTACAGATTTTAGGGTGAGGTGCTCCTCTTTGGATGTTTCAGTTTTAGTTCACAGTGGGGTCAACCTCCACTTTATAACAATGAATACCAAAAAAGTAGCATCCAGGTTTGGCGGGTAATATGGACCATTATTTCAAAGGGAATGGAGTATACGAATAGAGTGGCACAAGTCAGATCACACAGGGT